AAAGAAAATTAAAGATATGATATATTATTAAATCATAAATCATGAATATTATGAGGAATAAAATTATAAATTAAAAATATTTGAAGTTAAATTTAAAACGAAAAAATAAATTATGAACTGAAAAATAAAAGCACGTTAGATTTGACAAACTTTTTGCATTTTCGTATCAGGTTTAGCAGCAGAAGTTTCTACATATTTCCTTTTAGAGCTTCGAAAGTCCTTGCTCATCCATTTGGAACGATATTTTAATTGCAAATAAACGAACGTTTCTATGATACATTTATGATGCTTGTGTTCGATTTCATCATGAACCCAAAACTCAGGAAATTGAAGAATAATCGCGTCTCGAAGTAAACGATAAAAAAAGTCTGAAATATTTTTGATTCGCGCGTTCTCTTCAAAGGCCATATCAGAAACTTCATAGCATAATAAAACTACTTGGAACAATAAATCGGACGGAACATTTAAACTACCAAATACATCACTTTGCGCGGAAGGATAAGCTCTGAAAAAAATGAGTGTGTCGCGAGATGAGTCTATTTGTAATTTATCATTTATAGTGTATTTCGAAAGACAATCTGCGCATTGATGCTGTTTATTTAATTTGAAAGCTAAGTACCCCGCGATGTATTTTTTTGTCTGTATTTCCAGTGTAACTGTTTCCTGCTCCTCCTGTTTAGTGGCGATCGTTGTTTGTGTTGTATTTGTTACTTGTGTCAATTGTGTTGTTTGTGTTGTTTCTGTCTCTGTTTTTTCTAGTGTTTTCGTTGTATTTGTTGTGTGCAAAGCGGATATTTTACTTCTAAATTGTGTATCATTCCTAATGTACCAATCTTCTACTTTTTTATCTATTTCTTCGGCATCGATCTTTTTACTTTTAACATACGAATTAAAATTAGAAATTAATAAACGCGCTTGATCGGCTTCGCAATTAGTTCCGACAGGGGGTACAAGCAAAGTGACTAACACCGCGTATTGCATATTTTTAATGCACTGGGTAAGCGTAGGGTTATTATTATAACCACAACGCTCTCTCAAAAACCCGAAAAAATTTTCTAGTTTATCCTGATTCAAACGAGAAGTTAAAACATACCGAATATCTTTGGATTTGAGTCTATCCCATAACAATAAAATACCGTTAATAGTTAAAATTAAGTTGGGAAAAACAGGTGAACGAGTTTCATCTACTATGGTTTTAATCCAATCTACAGCTTTTTTTAATTCGTCTTCAACCCTCGTACTTTTTGATAAACCTTTCCGGTAAGGATTGGGATCGTTAAAAGAACGAGCATTGAGACAATCGAAAATTCTATTTAATCTAGTACAAAAATCGGATGTTGCAGCGGCTATTCCGAGATCGGCTGTGTTTAAACCTATCTCTTTATTAAGGGCCGCTGTCATTAAAGCAGCACCCACGGAATGACTAAACACTTGAACAGCTAAGGAAACTTTCATCTTTTCGAAGGCTTTAGGTTGAATATGACGTTCAGTTAATTTATGTGCTGCTTTGCAAGATTTACCTTTCTCTAGCTCATAGAGCTGTTTTATAGGCAACCAAGAAACAATATTACCATCTACAGTGAAGTTATTATTTAACAAAATATTTCTAATACCTTTGAACATATGGGGAACATCAAATCCAAAGGAAATATCATTACCTTCAAATGTGAAAGACGGGTTTTCGAGAGTAATACCTAGTCTCTTAACAGCAGATCGATTGCTTGACGACTGGTCACAAACCATGTGATGAATGATAAAACCTGCCTCAAAAGCGAGTTTTATCACTTTTTTAATTATAATCTCTAATTTATATGCTGGAACTGTGCCAGCGGAAGGAACATAAAAAAATGGCTGCTTCCAGTCGTAAATCAAGCCACCGATCATGAAAACTAAAACGTGAGTAGCAATGAAATCAGAGGCTTTTTTTTCTCTAGTCTCATGCTGCCCTTTTTCGTTAAGCGGTATATCATCGAACTCTAAACCTAAATCTTCGAAACCCTCTAAAATATCTAATTTTATATTAAATTCTAATCCCGGTTTGATCATTATTTCATCCCACATCAAAACCCCTGATTTTTCCAAAAAATTTTTTGACTCTAATTTTATTTTTAATTGCTCAATTAAATGAATATTTTTCCCAGGCCTTAAGTTAATATTATTTACCCATTGATGAATTAAAGAAAGACACGGAAGATGAAAAAAACCCTTTAAATATTTATACGCTTTCGGAGACTTATAATATAAACCTAAAGCAAATTGCTTTTCGCTTTCTTCCCATTTTCGTTTCTTGCGATGATTAATTTGCATTTTAAAAAAATCTAAATTTTTACCCTCAATAAATTGGCTTGCACCCTCGATTACATCTTCTTCCGATAATTTAATCACGCGTTCCTCGGATCTTTTTAGTTTTTGTTTTAGTGTTTTTACTTTTCTTTGCAATTGAATGATTCTTTTATTTAAATATTCATTTTTACCAGCTAGAAAAATTTCTTGTCCACGCGGTCGCAAACTACGCTTCGGAAGTTTATTTACGGATGAGCAAGTACTAGGCAAAATTAAATTTGAATTTACTGATTCTAGTTGAACATCTTGGGGAACTTCTGCTACTATCTCTAATTGTTGTTCAATAGGAACGATATTATCAACAAAATTATATGGTTTTGGACTAGCTGTATTTATTACCGTTTTTTTTCCAACACCGCGAAATATAAAATCAGAATCTTGGAAATGACTACTGCATACTCTTTTTTCATGTAGCTGCTGGTCAGTTAAAGCATATAGAGATTCGTTGCCGCTCTTCATTAACCAATCATCCCGACTGTAATGAAAAAAGAGACAATAGACCCAGTTGAAGAAAAAGAAAGAATGATAGATTAAAAGAAAAATTAATAAAGGGAAGAATTCAAAAAAAATTATGCAATCCATGCAGCTCAAATACCCAGCAATGTTCAAGCAATAGACGTGAAAAAATCAAGTTTCACAGCTGCAAAAAATCAAACTCAAAGATCTCAGCCTAGTACTGAGTAATTTTTACCGAGTACTTACTGTGTAAGATCGAACCATTTGACATTCGATCAAATTGCACTTACCATGCGTTTAAGAATGCTTTCCTCATTCAGTATTGTCAAATCGTTTGCTTGAAAAATCACATAAAAATTAAAGCACCAATTGAATGCTCATAGACGATAACGAGTTTTATACCGTTTAAATATTCCGCGCGTCGAAGATCCGTAAAAACATACATTTTGATTTTAAAATGCTATTTTGCAATTTCGATTATTCTTTAATTTTCATCCTCGTGTGAACGTTATGAAAAACGATTGTTGTATGTTCGTGTGTACATTTTGAAAAACGATTCTTGTAAGAACGAGCATAAAAAATAGCTTTATCACAAAGGCTAATAGAGATATAAACGACAAAAAACATTTATACGTGCGGAATCGCTACTTTCAATCGCGCATACCGACATTTACATTAATTCACGTATTTTTCGTCAATAACATTTCTAATTTATTAAAACGTTACAATTTATAGCTTTTGTAAAGATGTGATTGACTTACGTCTGCTGAATGTGGACTATAAAACGATGTAAGGTGATACCAGGTTCTTCGTTGGTTTTGCCACAGCCAGCAAAACAGCACTTATGCCTCGTCATTTTCTTTAAACTAATGAACAATTTAACTAACTTATTGTAATGCACACACCCAAACACTGAGAAATAAAATAGTACACTGAAGCTAGATAATATTTTAGTCAAACGAATTACTGAGCAATCGATTGAACGTCTCGACGCAACAACGAACTTGCCCAAACTAGTCGAATGCAGAAAAACATACGATTAGGTCCAGCGACACGACGATGCTATGAGGTCGTCGATCGATTTTGTTATGATGAAGATGTTGGCGCGAAAAAATCGCGCGCGCCAGTGCACGAGTCTCGCTTCACTCGCATGTTTACACATGTATTATTTTCGGAGAATTGCGTGACCGTTGCAAACATTGCCAAGATGCGTGATATTCATTCTTCGTTGAATAAAAATTGTTGTATCTTGTATATTTAATGCTAAAATTCGTTCAGAACTATATAATAATGTACCTACCCACTGCGCAAATATATTGATTATTTTTTAGAACTTATTTTTATAATTTTATATTGAATTAATATTCATTTTTATACAATAATTTTTAATAAAAAATATAATGGCCAAAATATATAATCCGAGTGCATGTCAAAATCATGGTATGAGCATAGTTCAAATGAGAGGCTTATGTTGTCATTGGGAACATGTCTGTTCGGTCGAGTGGCTAGCCCGCTCGCCTGACACTCAGGAGTCTCGGGTTCAAATCCCGGTACGGAAAGAAAAAAATATTTTTTTCTATATTTATCGACGCCCGCTTGTGGCGCCATCCATCTCTTGGGAGCAGTACTTTGCTCAGAACTTGCCTCAGTTTTTGATGGGGAAATACACTTCTATACCTAAGTATCTATCTTCTTTGGCGATACACAGTGTGAGCTACAGTAGAGTATAAAATGTAAACACTTGTGGAAGCAGCGAGGTAGAAAGAATGCGATTTGACAACAAGCAGTGCGCACAACCCGAGCGAGGCAAGTAGGGGAGAGAGCGACACTGTACACAAAGACGTTGCAAAGGCATGTAAGCGGGTCAAGCAGTCGCCACCGCCGCAGAAGCTGTGAGTGGAGGGAGTCTCAGCAATCAAGATGGCCGTTCAATCACGTCGCAGCCGGCAACGCGCAAAAAACTCCGTCTCTGCAGAAGTTTAAATTCCCACGATTATGAAATGAGTAATTGCAACATTTGAAAGCTGAAAGCCGATGTGCTTTTTACATAAAGGTAAAATTAAATAAAACCAAAAAATTGAAATGAAAGTAAATTAATGAATTGACTTTTAGAAAGATTTATTTATCAGAATATAATAGAAAAACTGCAAAATTGAAAAACACCAGATATTTAAAAAATGTATGTATGCTTATCACCATTATTAGTTTTGGCTCGTCGCCGCCAAGCAAATATTCCATAAATCTTCATTCATCAGATTTTTGATAATCGTTTCACAGCAAAGAATTGGCAGCCGGTAGTGTGTCAACTCCAAGATAGGATCCAGGGCCCAGCGCCGAGAAAGTCTTCTCAACATGATCTCGCACAAGGGCCCGGTACAAGCCTCTCTAAACCATTTGGGAAAATCCCACCAATTTATCAAAAGCCAAAACTTGCAGTGGTCCGTGAACGTAAGTAATTTTTCTGCCTGTTCGGGTCGTAATCGAACCACGTCGTAGAGCGATAGAGTCGGATCTTTATCTCTTATCATAATTTTTTTCGCTTGTATCGCAAAATCCTCCGCGTCGCGCCAACATTTTCCAAGATCCACTGACTTCTCGAACAATTCATACTTGGAAAAAAATTTCACGATTGTTCGGACATCGCTTCGATCAAAATCGTATCCTCTATTTTTAATTCGCTCGACGACGCTTACAGCACCATAAGTTAATCTTAATTTTAAATTATCATAACAGTTATCTACATCGTCTATCTGGTCAAAACTCGTACCAAAGTAACTCGCGGTGGGAAAAACGAAGCTGGACAGATCAGCGCCACGATCCAAGAGTATATCGATCACATTCGGATTGAGATTTGCCACGGCTAATTGCAACGGTGTCCGGCCCAACTTGTCACGAGCATCGATCTGCACCGACTGCCGCACGTCGTCGGTGATCTCGAAGAATACGTTTAACACGTCGTAGTCATCGTGACGACTCTGGCTAACAACGTGCAGAAAAGTCGATCCTTCCTCATTGGCCAAGTTTGGATCGGCGCAATTTCTCAGCAGAAACTTGATGGAATTTTTGTCACACCAGAACACAGTCAAGTGTAACGGTGTGTTACCTAGCTTGTCCTGGGCGTCGACCTGAAACGGCTGATTTAATTCGTTGCTGATCTCGACTATCTTCTTTACCGCCGCGTCGTCTCCGCCTTCCGCACAAATGATGTGCATAAGGGTCGTTCCTTTCGCATTGGCCAAGTTCGGATTGGCGCCATTTCTCAGCAGGCATTCGATCAAATTGTTGCTACCCCAGGTCAGAGCCAAGTGCAGCGGCGAATCACCTGTTTCTGTTACGATGCAATTGGGATCCTGACCGAGCTCGAGGAATTTCTCAACTACGCCTTCATAACCATATTTGCAGGCCGTGTGAAAATGCGTGTATCCAGCTTCGTCGGTGTAGTTCACGTCGAACCTGTCGTATATTTTAAAAAGGCCAGGTATCACGATACTCCAGTAAGGGACCAGCCAGTGTCTAGCCGCAAGAGTCAGTGCTGTGGTGCGATGCAGCAAAGGCTTTCCATCTTTGTCGACTTTGGGCTCGTCTTTGTAGCCAGTTCTTATCAGAAAGTCGACCAGAGGTTTTGGTTCAATTTCGCTGTCAGCAGACTTTACAGACTCTGCGAGAAGCCAATCGATTGCACCGGGCTGAAAAATGTCTTTGAGATTTGGAAGTTGGCCTTGATAATCTCTGATGAACGGATACAGCTTACGAAGAAATTCGTGACTCTTTTCTTCGATCTTCTGATACGCCACCTCCTCGTGCATATTTTTCAATTTGCTTGAACAATTTTGGTTGTCGTCGGCCATAGTTCTACACATTAACAACAAAACACAACTACTTGAAATTGAAAATATTTGTGTACGGCGTCGTAACGGGTACTGACTGTGTGTGTATACTGTAATCCACTGACTAAAGTTTTAACTTTAGACGACCGACGTGCACCAACACGCACAGCGCGAGTAACGACGCGAGTAAGACGGAGACAAGCGAGAGAGAGACCGATACACGACGCTACACATCAAGACGTTGCCAAGACATTTGAGCGCAACCAAGCAGTGGCGCCGCGGCAGAAGCTGTAAAGTGGGCAGACTCACGAGGCTCGGCACTCGAGATCGCCGCAATTCACATCGCACGAAAAAGTCTGCCACTGAATATTCGATGTTAATTCCGACGATTATCGCGCTCGATCGTTTTTTACGAGTCTATGCTTCTATGGCCCAACTCTCGTGAAAATAATTTTTTTTCATAAACGTTCATGGTAGTTAAGTAATTTCTTTTAAATGCCTATTTAATATAAGTCGTACATGAATGGTTTATTTTTTCAATACAGAACTCGTGCAGCTAAAACAAATTACGACATAAAATTTTTTTAATCCTTTTAGTTTTTAATTAAAAATCGATTAAACGCTGCCCCACAGCAGGACACGTTTGGCCAGATCGTGGGGCATACTTGGCACGGTCAAATCTCAATTTTATTTGACTAATTTTGCAAATAAAAATACTTAAAAACTATAAGAAATAATTGTTGGGATCCGGAAGAATGATTAACATTTTACTATCATATTGTTCTTTTGCTGATACATCTAAATATATCAGATATATTTATAATGCATTCAGCAAAAGTAAACTAACAAACATTATTAATAAGTAATATTCGTCAAACTACAACTGTATGATTTTTGCTAATATAATAATAAGGAGCTGTGTAAAAGCAGCTAAGATGCCAAATTTCTTCGAATGAAATAAAAACACAAACTCATTTTCGAATTTAGGTAAATTAATTAATTCCATTTATTTATTTGACTACCAGAAAACATTGAAAAATACTACAAAAATTTTTATCAACATTAGGTATTTTGGCCTGCAGCCGCTAAGCAAATATGATACAAGTTTTTGTTTATCAATGAGTCATCGAGGATCATTTCACAGCAAAGAATCGGCAGTTGGTAGCGCGTCAGCTCCAAGAATGAGTCCAAAGCGTAGCGTCGAAAAAATATTCTCGATAGTTTCTCGCACAGATGTTTAACACAAGCCTCGCCGGGAGTATTGTGAGGATTCCAATGAGCATCCACACGCGCGAACTTGAAGAAGTCCGAACAGGTAGGTAATTTTGCCGTTTCTTCAGGTCGTAACTGACTCAGGTCGTACAGCGACAAACTCGGATTTATCATGGTTTTTTTCGCTTCCCTCTCTTGCTTGTTATTGTACCGACATTTTGCAAAAACAGAATTAGTATTCAAGAACAATTCGTACTCGTCGAAGAGTTGCATGATCATCAGGGCGTTGCTTCTGCTCAGTTCGTATCCTCTATTCTCGAGGCGCTCGACGACGGCCAGAAGACCAGATGCTATTTTCAATTTGAAACTTTTACATTGCGGATGAAAATGTTCGCGAAAGTGACTTGCAGTAGGAAAAACAAAACTTGTTAGATCAGCGCCTTGATCCAAGAGTAAATCAATCACATCCGGCAATAATCTTGCCACGGCGCATTGAAGAGGTGTCCGGCCTGAGTTGTCACGGGCGTCGACTTGCACCAGCTGATCGAGTTCTTGGTTGGTCTTGAAGAATATCTCCAATGTGTCAAAGGTTTCGGAACCATCCATGCAAACAATGTGCAAAGGAGTCGATCCTTTCTTGTTGGTTGCATTGGGATCCGCGCCATTTTTGAGCAATAATTCGACCAAATTTTTGTAGCCGTGATAGTCGATAGCCAAGTGCAATGGTGTGTTACCCCCACTGTCCCGAGCATCGATCTGCACCGGCTGATATCTTTCATCGCTGACCTCCAATAACATCTTCGCCATTTCAATAGAATAGTCACAACAGTTGTCGCAAATAACGTGCAGCGGAGTCTGTCCGTCATCGTTGGCTAAATTTGGGTCGGCGCCGTTTCTCAACAACAATTTGGTCACGTTGTTGCGATCGTGTTTCAGAGCCCAGTGCAGTGGCGTATTACCTTCTCCGTCCGTGATGCGATTGAGGTCCTGCCCGACCTCGAGAAATTTTAAAACTTCATCTTCGCAGCCAAAACGGCAGGCTAGATGGAAATGTGTTTGGCCATATTCGTCGATGTAATTCACATCGAATCTGTCGAATATTTGAAAAAGTTTGGAGACGATGAGAATTTCTTCGTCGTCAGGCACAAGATGTATCGGTGTGGTTCGATGTAACAATGGCTTGCCGTCTTTATCAACTTTGGGCTCGTCCTTGTAACCGGTGTGGATCACAAAGTCGATTATGGAGGTGTCAAGCCGATCTACAGACTCCTTGAGAATCCAATCGATTGCTTCGGGCCGAAAAAAATCTCGAAGATTTGGAAGATCACCCTCATAATTGCTGATCAAGTTACAAACTTCACCGAGAAACTGGTGATTTCGATTTTCGATATTCTGAGAGGCCATTGTTCTACACACTCACACACAACACAAAACACAATCGTTTATACAATGAAATATTCGTTCTTTTTCAAGAGAATCACTAATTACAGATACACTAACTACAATCGATGCGATTTTTTTTCGACGTTCTTACTATGGAGTCGCACGTTTTACTGACTAATACACAGTGTGATCTACAGTAGAGTATAAAACGTAAACATGTGTGGGAGCAGCGAGCTCCAACGAGGCAAGTAGGGGAAAGAGCAACACGAACAGACAGTTACGCGACACTGTACAGTGTACACAAAGACGTTGCAAAGACATGTGAGCGCGTCAAGCAGTCGCCACCGCAGCAGAAGCTGTGAGTGGAGGGAGTCTCAGCAATCAAGATGGCCGTTCAATCACGTCGCAGCCGGCAACGCGCAAAAAACTCCGTCTCTGCAGAAGTTGAAATTCCCACGATTATGAAATGAGTAATTGCAACATTTGAAAGCTGAAAGCCGATGTGCTTATTGCATAAAGGTAAAATTAAATAAAACCAAAAAATTGAAATGAAAGTAAATTAATGAATTGACTTTTAGAAAGATTTATTTATCAGAATATTATCGAAAATATGCAACCAGATATTTGAAAAAAAATGTAAATATGCTTATCAACATTATTAGGTTTGGCTCGTCGTCGCCAAGCAAATATTCCATAAATCTTCATTCGTCAGATTTTCGATGATCATTTCACAGCAGAGAATCGGCAGTCGGTAGCGCGTCGACTCCAAGATAGGATCCAGGGCCCAGCGCCGGGAAAATCCTCTCAACATGATCTCGCACAAGGGCACAGCACAAGCCTCTCTAAACCTTTTGGAAAAATCCCACCAATTTATCAAAAGCCAAAACTTGCAGTGGTCCGTGAACGTAAGTAATTTTTCTGCCTCTTCGGGTCGTAATCGAACTACGTCGTAGAGCGACAGAGTCGGATCTTCGTCTCTTATCATAATTTTTTTCGCTTTTATCGCGAAATCCTCCGCGTCGTACCAACAGTTTCCAAGATTCGCTGGCTTCTTGAACAATTCGTACTTGGAAAAAAATTTCACGATCGTCATGACATTGCTTGGTGTCAATTCGTATCCTCTATTTGTTAGTTCATCAATGACGCCTATAGCGCCGTAGGCTAATCTCAATTTAAAATTATCAAAATTGTCATCGTCTTTCTGGTCAAAACTCGCACCAAAGTAACTCACGGTGGGAAAAACGAAACTCAACAGATCAGCGCCACGATCCAAGAGTATATCGACCACGCCCGGTAAGAGATTCGCCACGGCTAATTGCAGTGGTGTCCGGCCCAACTTGTCTCGAGCATCGATCTGCACCAGCTGTTGTTTTTTGTTAATAATCTCGAAGAATACCTTCAACGCGTCATGGTCATGGTAACATTTCTGACTACTAACGTGCAGAGGCGTCGATCCGTCAGCATTGGCCAAGTTCGGATCGACGCCATATCTCAGCAGACGTTCGACCATATTTTTGTAGCTCGATTTCAGGGCAAATTGCAACGGTGTCCAGCCCAACTTGTCCTGGGCGTTGATTTGCACCAGCAGATATTTTGCGTCGCACAAATCGAATATCATCTTCAACGTCGTCTCACCGCCGTCAAAATCGCGAGGTTTGTCATCTTTGCAAACGACGTGCAAAAGGGTCGATCCCTCTGCATTTGCTAAATGTGGATCGGCGCCGTTTCTCAGTAACAGTTCTACCACCTCCTTGTTTCTGGCGACATGCAGAGGCGTATCGCCTGTTTCCGACACAAGATAATTGGGATCCTGGCCGAGTTCGAGAAATTTCTCGACGAGGTCGAGACATCCTGTATCGCTGGCCACATGGAAATGTGTAAAGCCCGAATCATCGGCGTAATTCACCTCGAATCTGTTGAATATTTTGAAAAGCTCACGAATCACGATATCAATACGATTGACAACACGATATTTTTCACACACATAATGCACTGGGGTGGTACGATGCAACACTGGTTTTTCATCTTTGTCGACTTAGGGCTCGTCTTTGTAGCCGGTGCTGATCAGAAAGTCAACAAGAGGTTTTGCTTCCATCCCGCTGTCATTATCAGGCTTGAATGACTCCTTGATAAGCTAATCTATTGCCTCAGGCCGAAAAATGTCTCCTAGATTCGGAAGTTGGCCCTGATAATCTCTGATGAAGGGATAAAGTTTACGAAGAAATTCGTGGCTTTTTTCCTCGATCTGTCGATAAGCCATTCCTTCATTCGTATACTCTGCAATGTGTTTGGAGCCAACTATACAAACAAAATCGCCCGTTATTCGAAATATTTATTTTTTTTCTTGAGAATCACTTGCTGCAGTCGAGGCGATCTTTATATCGTTTGCACTGCGGCGCCGTAACGTCGTACTCGAGGTATTTACAGCATCTGCAGTCTGACAATGATACAGGTAACACGTCGCAACAAGCACTGCGCTCGAGCTCGAGAATCGAGATACTACACAAACTGTCTGTGGCCGCCGCAGCACATGCGATAGAGTAGACTCTTGGCTGACTCGGTACTCAAGATCACCGACCACAGCGCGCTCGAAAGACTCTAAATAATATAGCCAGGCTCGCTCGCTTTTTTTGACGTATTGCATTATTATTATGTGAAAAAAAGTGATTTGCGGTGTCTATAGATTATTTTACGTCTTACCAGTACATTATATTGTACTTCGTATAAAAAATTGCAAAAATAAAATTTAATAGATAAATAAGCAGCTAAATGAGAACAGCTGCCAAATGTGAATCTTCTTGATTTTCAGTCAACAAAGCTGAAATGATATCATAATACTAAAAATAATATCTAAGTAAATTAATGAATTAATTTTTTTTTCAAATAATTTATTCGATTGATATGTAAAATCTACAAAATTTAATGACACCAGATATTAAAAAGTACTAAATAAAAATTAACTGCACATCACGAGCTTCCGTCTGCAGCCGCCAAGCAAACATTACACAAATCTTCATTCATCAGCTGCCCAATGATCATTTCACAACAAAGGATTGGCAGCTGGTGTCGTGTCAACTCCAAGAAAAGATCCAGTGCCCAGCTCCGGAAGAATCCTCTCGACACCATCTCACACAGATGCACAGCGCATGTCTTAATTAAGCATTTGGCACGGTTATTTAAATCGCCTCGAAGCAAGAATTTGAAGTAGTCCGCATACGTGAGTCGTTTCGCCGCTTCTTCGGGCCGTAACCGGATCAGATCAAATAGCGAAAAATTAGGATCTTCATCTTTTATCGTTATTTTTTTCGCTTCGATAGCAAACTTCTCGTCGTTGTACCAACATTTTTCAAAATCCGTCGACTTTTTAAACAATCCGTACTTGGCGAAAAATTTCATGATCGTTAGAGTGTCGCCTCGATCTAATTCGTATCCTCTTTTCTCAAGATTTTCGACGCATCTCAAAGCACCTGACGCTAGTCTCAATTTAGAATGATCAAAATAGTCATCGTCTTTCTGGTGAAAACTCGCGCCAAAGTAACTCTCGGCAGGAAAAAAGAAACTAGTTATATCGGCGCCATGATCTAAAAGCACATCGACCAAAATTGGATTGAGATTTGCCACGGCCAACTGTAGCGGTGTCCGGCCCAACTTGTCTCGAGCATCGATCTGCACCAGCTGTTGTTTTTCGTTAATAATCTCGAAGAATACCTTCAACGCGCCATGGTCATGGTAACATTTCTGACTACTAACGTGTAGAGGCGTCGATCCTTCCTCATTGGCCGAGTTCGGATCGCGCCATATCTCAGCTGACGTTCGATGAACTGGTCACCACCCCACGCGGCCCACGCCAGAGCCAAGTGTAACGGCGTGTTACCTAGCTTGTCCCGGGCGTCGACTTGCACCGGCTGATATTTGTCGCTACTGAGTTCAAGTATCGCTTTTATCAAGTCACTGTCGCAGCCATCCTCGCAAATAATGTGCAGAGGCGTCCGACCCTCTGCATCGACTAAATTTGGATTTGCGCCGTGTTTTAGCAATAATTTGACGACCCCCGTTTCGACGCCCACCAGAGCCAGGTGTACCGGCGAATCGCCTGTTTCTGTTACGATGCAATTGGGATCCTGACCGAGCTCGAGGAATTTCTCAACGACGTCTTCACAACCAAATTTGCAGGCCGTGTGAAAATGCGTGTATCCATCTTCGTCGATGTAGTTCGCGTCGAACCTGTCGTATATTTTAAACAGACCAGGTACAACAACATCCCAATAAGAGAACCAGTCTCTAGCCGTAAGAGTCAGTGCTGTGGTGCGATGCAGCAAAGGCTTTCCATCTTTGTCGACTTTGGGCTCGTCTTTGTAGCCAGTTCTAATCAGAAAGTCGATCAGAGATTCTGCTTCAACTCCGCTGTTAGCAGACGTTATGGACTCTGCGAGAAGCCAATCGATTGCACCGGGCTGAAAAATGTCTTTGAGATTTGGAAGTTGGCCTTGATAATCTCTGATGAACGGATACAGCTTACGAAGAAATTCGTGACTCTTTTCTTCGATCTTCTGATACGCCACCTCCTCGTGCATATTTTTCAATTTGCTTGAACAATTTTGGTTGTCGTCGGCCATTTTGCTACGCACTCACACAAAAACACAACGACCACTTGAAATTTGAAATAATTTTTTTATCTCGAGAACCACTTTCTACAGTCGATGCGATCTTGTTTGCGATTCGACTTTGTAACTAGTAATGCTCATTTACACACTCTGTACGATCTATATGATAAAGAGTGAGATATATTTCGTTTGTTTGCATGCACCAACACGCACAGCACGAGCGAGACCGATAGCATATGCACGACGCTACACAAAGACGTTGCAAAGACATGTGTGCGGGTCAAGGAGTCGCCACTGCAGCAGAAGCTATAAAGTGGGGGCAAGCTCTCGACACATGTCGCTACATGTCGCAGGGCGCGAAAAACTCCGTCTCTGAGTAAGTTCGATGCTTATTCCGTCGATTATCGCGCTCGATCGTTTTTCACAACACGGAGAGAAAAATCCGATGATCATTTCGCAGCGTTTATCTTTTAGTCCAGGCCCCAGCTTCGCAATGGTCAAAAAAATTTTTTTAGTCGAGTTTTTTAAACATTCCCATGTAAAATTGCCCGCTGAATCCGAATTTGCATGTTGCCAGGCCCAAAAACGTGCCCAAAATTGTTTAAACAAATTTTTTTAAACAAATGGTCAAAATTAATGTTTTTCGACCTGGCAGTACATTTTTTTGAGTTAATTGGATCATTTTAAAGAGAAAAGGTCTCTTGACATTTTTCTCTAAAGTTGATAGATTTCGAGTTATTCAACATTTTATGTTGCAAAAAACTCGAAAATGGCCAACTTCGACATTGAAAAAATTTGTGAAAAACGTAAAATTTTGATGTTGCCATGGCGTTTTCTTACACTTCAAACATCCCTTTATAAAGTCCCGAAGCGCTTTAGACGATAAAATTGTTGAAAACCTGTTTGTTATCAACTTTTAAATCAGCGAGTTTGACGGTATGGTTAGCCATACGCATTGCTCCCGCAACTTGCGCTTGAAATTTTCATCAATTTTATCGTCTAAAACGCTTCGGGACTTTATAAAGGGATGTTTGAAGTGTAAGAAAACGCTATGGCAACATCTAAATTTTACGTTTTTCACAAATTTTTTCAATGTCGAAGTTGGACATTTTCGAGTTTTTTGCAACATAAAATATTGAATAACTCGAAATCTATCAACTTTAGAGAAAAATGTCAAGAGACCTTTTCTCTTTAAAATGATCCAATTAACTTAAAAAATATACTGTCAGGTCAAAAAACATAAATTTTGACCATTTGTTTAAAAAAATTTGTTTAAACAATTTTGGGCACGTTTTTGGGCCTGGCAACATGCAAATTCGGATTCAGCGGGCAATTTTACATGGGAATGTGTAAAAAACTCGACTAAAAAATTTTTTTTGACCATTGCGAAGCTGGGGCCTGGACTATTTACACTGCTTTGTTTTGAATAGACGGAAAGTCGAGCGAGCGTGGATGGTCTCTCCAGCGATTGTCTTTACGGGAATGTTTTAACTCAGTATACATACGTCAAAGATTTTTATTAATTTCATTGAAACATAATAACGACTACTTGTGCGCTTTTTGTAGGCAATATAATGTTTTGTGAGTTATGGATACTCTACTTTTTCGACGTTTGCGAGGAGATCGTCTCGACTGTAATTCGGTTTCGTAAACAGCTTTCATAATCAATCGCGTGTATTTGTTTAAAGTAGGCGGAAGCTTGAAACTCGCACCACATAAGTGTAAGGCCAATGTGAGCATTTTTGCTCATGTCTCTATATTCGCTCAATAATTTAATATTAAAGATCTAATTTAACACAAAAAATTTCTTTTTTAATTGGTCGTATTGAGCTGAGCATGTTTAACATAAATATATTATTTAAATACTGGTATTAATTTTTTAATTCACGTAAAAATTTAATTCAAAGTTGAGCGAAAATACCCACATTGACCTTATGAGCCGTTTATAAGTACACATGTGTCAACGGCCAATTTCCATTTACTTTTATTCATTATTATCTTTGTTATAAATCAAGAGTATTTTGCATTTTAAATCGAAGACGAAGATACACAAGTATGCTATCAATTTTGCGATACGATGCCGTAATCGGTTGTCTTTGATTTTTAACACTAGGTACATTTCTTCAATTGAGCATCACTTTACAAAGGCAATTTTTATAACAAATGACTACATTTTCTCTGAGTCGTAAAAACTCGCAAAGGCAAATAACAAAAAACTTGAATCCTTGTCAAATCAGATATTTAATTTATCAACACATATATAAATAAAATAGGCGGCATTGAAGAAAATAATTTTCGTAAAAATCAACGAAATGAATCGTTACTTTTTACATTTCACGCGCTGTCGTTCCGTCAAGAATATTATAATTTTTAATTCATATTTAGCCGAAAATAATATCAAGCTTCGACTCGATATGTTTACATTGTTCGCTCGTATAGGCGCTCGGTTCTACACGATTTCGAGCAGTCTCCCGCCGAATGTCGTTCTGTGTCGAGTGCCGATCAAATCGCCGCTAAGTAACACCAGCGAAATTCGCGTCTACCGCAGCCAGTGATTCTTGTGAAAAAAAAGTAAAAAATACCCTCGCCTCGTGAGTGACTTAGTGTAGTGCGAGCTCGCTGATACGATGTCCTCGTCCGACAAATTAACAACGTTCAAGAGGCTACGCGAAGAGGCCAATGATTGGAATGACAAAAATAAGCGTCGTGAATTTATCCGCCAACTCGTCTCGTTCATCGGCGATTGGACGAGCGAACTTCCGAATCTCCGCGACTTTTTTGATCAAAGAAAAATTAATCAGCTCCTCGTCGATGCGGTAGAAATTATTTTCACGGGACAATGTGAGAGCGAAGGAAAAGAAATTATTGCTTTCGTGATTAGGACGGGCTACAGAGACGAGCCCCAGTTTGATAGAATAAACAAGCCAATATTGCATCGCCTCACGCCACTGGTTTATGTGGGTTCTTGTTTACCTACCATTAACGCACGCGAGACAGTCCGTGAACTTTTTAAAATATACGACTTTCGATTTAATTATTTCGGTCACAACCGCATAACACATTTCCATGTGGCCTGCGCGTATGGCTTCATAGACATTGCCGAGCAGTTCCTCGCCTCGAGACAGAATATCAATTGTCAAGATCGAAGTAATAATACGCCACTGCTCATGGCTACGTTACAAGGCGAAAAGGAGATGGCAAAATTACTGCTTAAACGAGGGGCCAATGTGTGTTTGTTCAACGAGCAGCGACAAACGCCTCTCCATCTCGTTTGCCAGAAGTACGAAGGAGATCACGACTTGGTCGAATTGTTGTTCAAGAACGACACGCGGCAGAGGATGCGTGTCAATGCCAAGGACAATAAGGGTAACACTGCATTGCACTTGATTCTGGAATATGGAAGGGAAATCAAGGAGACAGTCGAATTACTGCTGGCAAGAGGCGCCGATGTGGGTTTGGCCAACGAGCAGGGACAAACGCCTCTCCATCTTATTTGCCACAAATACGGAAGAGATCACGACTGGGTCAAATCGTTATTCGAGATCAAGCGCAAGATGCGGCAGGGTATGCGGATCAATGCCCAGGACAATAAGGGTAACACTGCATTGCACTTGGTTGTGGAATATGGACGGGAAAGCGAGAAGACGGTCGAATTACTGCTGGAAAAAGGCGCCGATGTGGGTTTGGCCAACGAGCAGGGACAAACGCCTCTCCATATTATTTGCCAAAAGTACGGGGGAGATCACGACTTGGTCAAGTCGTTATTCAAGATCAATGACTACAGGAAGCAGAGGGAGTGGGTCAATGCCAAGGACAATAAGGGTAACACTGCATTGCACTTGATTCTGGAATATGGAAGGGAAATCAAGAAGACGGTCGAGTTACTGCTGTTAAGAGGCGCCGATGTGGGTTTGGCCAATGCAAAAGGAGAAATCCCTCTGCTCACGATTTTTTCGAAGGGCGAAAAGGACCTTATGGAAGTACTTTTAAAGACCATTAACCGGTTTTGCAGGAGAAAAAGGTGCCAGACGTACCCGGTCAATCATCAGGACCGACGGGGTTGCACTGCGTTACACTACGTACTCGAACGGCACCAAAACCAAAAATGGTTCAAGTGGCTACTGAGTAGAGGCGCTAATCCGAACCTGCGCAACAACGAGGGAATGTCACCCGTCAATCTTATTTTTTGGAATTGGATGTGTGGAGCAGATGATTGGATCTTCAATTCATTCGTCAAGCACTGCAACGACACGCAACAGGCAGTGGAAGTCGATGCCCAGGATAAATCTGGTCGAATATTGTTGAACTGGGCTCTGAGATACCACGAAAGGACGAAGGTCGAATGGCTACTAAGGGCAGGCGTCGATCCTAATGTGGCCGATCAGGAGGGATCGACGGCTCTGCACGTCATTTCCCAGGAACTAGTTAAGGATCACGGCTTCGCGGAGTTACTCTTCGAGATCTGCGATGCGAACCATCGGACGGTGCAAGTCGATGCCAAGGACGAGTCAAATCGGACACCCATCGAGTATGCCCTGGCGAATTTCTATCCGAATATTGTCGCCGCTCTGTTGGATCACGGCGCCCGCCTCGTTTGGCCCACCGATAGCCACTTCGATGGGCGCCGTAGACGATGGGCCGGATGCATTCTGACTTTTGAGAGTAAATTTACGCAAATAATCGGCGCTCTGGCCATCATGGAGTGTGTAGAAAACAGAGATTACGATTTCGACCGAAGCCAGGCCCTAAGGATCATGAAATATTTCACCGAGCTCAAAATACTCGACGATCTTAAAAACGATCAGTACGATGTCAGTTTGCTGTCTTCCACGAGTGACGAAAATATGATGATCAAGCCGAGTCTGTCGATCCGCGACCTGGACCAAATGCGCCTCAAAGAGGCGTGGAAACAGCTCACGTATCAGGACTGCTACGATTACTTGTGCTCGATCAATGTTCGCACGATTACTCTGAGATTTCGAGAGATTTGCGCCCGAGCGATTGCCAAGAAAATGTTGAGAAAATTTTTACGGCCCTGGGCAGTGATCTCTTACCTGGAGCTGATTCGATATCGGCTGCCGATCGAGTGCTGTGAAACGATCATCGATCAATTGCCGAGCCGAGATTTATTGAACATCTGCTTCGCGGCCGTCGATAAAAATGTCAATTCGGAAGAACAGCCCGAAACGAAGTGAAGGGTAAAAATTACCCTAATGGATGTTGTACATTAAAACGAATGTAAAAAGCAACAATTGTAGATAGTTTTAAGGTGTGTTGTCACTTGAACAGCTCTCCGAAATTTAAGTCTTTAACTATAAGATAGATATTTGAGATAGAAATAAATGAAAAAAAGAGGGCTAATAATTTTATGATAATTAAATTTGAAATTTTGTTTTAAAACTATTGACTAATAATTGTAGTTAGTACATGATTAACATGTATCATCTGTAAAAATTCAAGCTTGATTTGTATAAAAAATAATTTTAATTAATTTTTATACAAATGAATTTTCAAAAATAAATAATTTGAAAGTAATGAAAATATACACAAGCAATTCTAATAATTTACCTCGAAACATTAAATATATACACATATGTTGAAGGATGTGAAAATATTGGAATAAACATCTCAAACCAGATTATCACATAAGTCCGAAATGAGACAAAAAAATTACAAAGAAGTGAGTTTAAAACAACGCAGTATAACACAACACGTTAAACAATTTTTTGACAATTAAATTTGAAGTTTTGTTGTAAAGCTATTGACAATTCATTGTAATTATAGTACATGATTAGCATGTAAATCTAAAAAATACAAAAATTAATTTATTTCACAAATGAACTTTTAACAATAAATAATTGAATTGCAATGAAAACGCACATAAATCGATATATGGGATGTCACATTCATCGATGAACGAGCTTATACTCATAAAGTAACTGTATATTCGTATACACGTACGTCCGTGATGATGTATAATTTGTAAGATTGACTCTCGGCTCTGAAACTGAGAAACTCTCCTGTATAAAATTAAATGAAATTCGCGTATATCGAGTGTACTTGATGAAAAGTCGGATTCGTCTGCAGAGCGCAAGATCACTATCGAATCTTGAAACAAACCGAAAAGTATTTATGAAAAATTGAATCAATTAATTATGAATAACAGCGGTAAAAAATATCTGAAAAATTAAACAATCGAGTAAATCTAAAATATTGAGTTAGCTGTCTATAGACAGCCATCAGAGGTTGAAAATTAATTAGCTGAAAACATCAAAATATGAAAGAAGAAAAATCTAGAAAAATTTTAAAGGAAAGCGTGTAAAATAGCAGAAAAAATTTTAAATAATCTAAAAAAATTGTAGTTCAAGCAAGTCAAAAATTTCATTGATAAGCAAACATTCAAAATCAAGAAAAGTTACAATTTCAGAATGAAAATACAACCAAGGAAAAGGGCTATGAAGTTTCACTTCTGGTGTTTAGATTATCTAAAATTCATTTAACTATATAAAAGCACCAGAATTGAAATTTTATAGTCTTTTTACTTGTTGGATTTTTCATTCTAAAATTTTAACTTTTCTTCATTTCAAATGTTTCTCTATCGTCATAAACCTCTGTCTCTCATGCGCAAGCGCGTACAAGTGAAAGTCCAGCGAGTTTCAAGTCGCCTCTGCGCATAGCTTATATAGCTTGGACGGTGGACCTCGTGTTCTTTTACTCTCTTCATAGATCAAAGTGAATGTCTACAGACAGTACAAATTACAACGTCGCAGTGCGAGCAGCAAAGTCCCATCTACTATAGCGAGTGATTATTTAAAGAAAAAGTATATATACTTTTTAAATAATCAGTGTTTGTGTATCGTGTGTTGGTGTTCGAAATATAAAATGTCTTCGTCAAATAGCGAAAAATCCGTAGGTGAAAGTGAGGCAGTCGACAAACACGTGGAGCATCCAAAATTAGAAAAATTGAAGAGGTTACGTGAAAGTTTCAATTGGAAGTTTGAAAATCATCGATACCGATTTCTCAATGAATTTGGACCTATAATAAAAGATTGGAAGGAACAACTTCCAAATCTGCGCGACATTTTTACAAAGCAAGAGATGGATTGGATTCTCACGAAGAGCATCAAAAAGTCTCTTTGGAGTGAGCGAATCGTCGATTTCGTTATTCGTAGCGGCTACAAAGACGAACCCGACTTGGACGAAGAGGGTAAGCCACTGCTGCGTCGTACTACAGCAGTACACCAGATAGCTGAATGGCACCACTGGGCTTCGAAAAGTGAAGTGCTGAAAAATCTTTTCAAAATTTACGACAAATTCCACGTAAATTATACCGACGAGTTGGGCTACACACATTTCCATGTGGCCTGCATATCTGGCCTCGACGACGTCGCGGAGAAATTTCTCGAACTCGGCCAGGATCCCAATTGCCTCGTACCAGGAACACGTAATTCGCTGCTGTACTGTGTTGCAGAACCGATTATACGATTGCTGCTGAAACATGGCGCCGATCCAAATCAGACCAACGAGGACGGATCGACTCCTTTGCATGTCATTTGTCAACTTCGCAACTGTATTACTCACTCCGTGCTCTTGATGCTACTTGAGAGCGTCGACGAAGTTCAGCAGACGGTGCTGATCAACGCTCAAGATAATAGGGGTGACACACCATTGCATTTGTCTCTGAAGGACGGCAATAATGAACGGACTGTCCAAGAGCTGCTGAGAAGAGGCGCCAATCCGAATTCAACCAATGCGAAAGGACAGGCTCCTGTGCACTTAATTTGCCAGAACAACTGGAACATTTACATTTTAAAGCGATTCTTCGATATCTGTGATGAAAAACGTCTGCCGGTTCTGCTCGATATTGGAGATAATGAGGGCAACACACCATTGCATTTGGCTCTGAAAAACGGCAAGGATATCTGGACTGTCGAAGAGCTGCTGAGACGAGGCGCCGATCCGTGTTTGGCCAATGCGGAAGGACAGACACCTCTGCACGTAATTTGTCAGAGATACGAGAATTTGGACTGGTTAGAGCGATTCTTCAAGTTCATCGACGAGTTCGAGAAGACGGTGCAGATCGATGCCCAGGACAACGAGGGCAACACACCGTTGCACTTGGCTATTTTGTGCGGAAACCCGCTGATGGTCAAGTCGCTGCTGAGACGAAGCGCCGATCCGTGTTTGTCCAATGCGAAAGGACAGACTCCTCTGCACTTCGTTTGCGAGAAAAACCAGGGATGGAACTTGTTAAAGCTATTCTTCAATTTCATGGGACGAGGCGCCAATTCGAATTTACCCAATGCGGAAGGACGGACACCTCTGCATCTCATTGCCAGGATAGATGTCCATGGCAACATAATTAGGATCTTTTTAATTACGAACGGAGAAGGGCAGCGGATGGTGGGGATCGACGCCCGGGACGATTCGGGCCGAACAGCGCTGGAATGGGCCGTGGCGAGTTGTTTGCCGATGGCCGTCAACAGTCTGCTGGATTGTGGCGCTAACGTGTCCGACTTCGTTTTTCCGACCCCGAGTGACTCTGATAGGTACTGGAGCGAGTATCGTCAGGGTAACAATAATCTTGGCAGAGATTGTTCTGTATTTAAACTGACTGCTGCAACTGGCCTGCTGGCCATCGTCGAACTGCTCGAGACGAGAGGCTACATAATGAACCGAGACGACGCCCTGAAGCTCATGGGATTTTTCGACAAGTACGGATTGTACGAAAGTACGGATTTTTCGACGAGTAAGGAGGTCGATGATTTGGTCGATTCATTATTCAAAGAGATGGCGAAAAATCCCACGTATATGGACGACTACAAGTTCGCAAGCTCGTACAAATTGCCTGAGCTTCCCCAAGAGTTTAGGGAGGCTTGTTATTCGCGCCTGTGTGAGAAAGTATTGACGAAATTTTTCCGCGATTGGGCCCTGGATCCTTTTATGCAATTGATACATTACCGACTGCCCACCGAGTGCTGTGAAATTGTCATTAAGAAGCTGAAGAACAAGGATTTGTTTAACATTTGTCTGACGGCTCCGGGACGAAGCTGGCGACAATAATCATGTTTGCAATTATTTTTTTCATGTACGATGTTGCTTTATCAAATAAATGAATATATTTAAAAAAATGAGGTTCAATTTTTCCATTGATAATCACAAGATAATAATTCTCTTCCCATCGACTCTTCTATCCAGCTATCGTCTCATCAATAATGCATTTTGAAAACAAAATTTTCATACTGCGGGAGCACTGGCAAAATCCTTTGGTTTTGGTTCAACTGAAAACATAAAGTTTCCAGTTCCACTTATGGTGTCGCTAAGTGTCCCGGCTAGGCTATTTTTTAAATTTGAAAAAGTGATGCAAAAATTTGACAGCATCGCTGAATATTTACGTGCGTACAAAGAAGTTTCACGTCAAAGCAAACGTAAAAAATTTCAAAATGAAAATTCAATCGAAGAAAAGGACTTCGGAAAAAGAAAACGTTTTTCATGGATTTTTATTATCGCGTTTTTAATATTTTTTGATTTTTTATTATGAGATATAGAAGCCTTGAATGAAACAATGAACACATATAAATTTTTAAAGATTTTTAGAGGATTTTCTTTGAAAATCGATTCTAGTTTTTTGGGTTGAAGCACGTATTTACTATTGATTTTTGAACCTATTGTCGTGTTTCTTACCATATAGAGCCTAAATACAAAGAAGTATCTGGATTGGAGATCGAAACAGGGTGAAATATAAAAACCAGTCCTGTAAGTTGATATGCATACCGAAATTAATTTATTGATACAACAGCTGTATGAGAAAAGCTGCAAGATGTGAACTTTTTTTTCGTGGCAATTTGCATAAAACTAAAATAAAGTGATAACAAACAAAATTTACATCAAAGTAAATTGAATAACAAAACAAACAAAAATAAAAAATCAAATATTAAATAACAAACAAGAAAAAAAGACTTATATAAGGAAAAAACCTTCATAATCTTCTTTATCTATACATTAATCTGTCAGGGGCTTTTCTATCTCTTCTGGGTCTTGGGTTATGACGTTCTCTTTCATTCAAATGAACATCTTTTTTATCCTTTTGATTTTCCTCCGTAGCCGCCAAGCAAATGTTCCATAAATCTCTGTTCAATAGTCGCTTGATAATCATTTCGCAGCAGAGAATCGGTATTCGGTAGCGAGTCAGCTTCAAGAAACTATCCAAAGCCCAGCGACGGAAAAATCCTCTCGATAGTTTCTCGCGCAGATGAATTAGACACGAATCGCGTGATTCATGTGGAAGGTCATCTAGTATCATCGTGCACGCGAACTTCAAATAATCCGAGTACGTGACTTTTTTCGCCGCCTCTTCGGGTCGTAACCGGATCAGATCGAATAGCGAAAAATTAGGATCTTCATCTTTTATCATTATTTTTTTCGCTTCGCTCGCGAACACTTCGTCGTCGTACCAAAATTTTTCAAGTTCCACAGATTTTTCGAACATTTCATAATCGGAAAAAATTTTCATGATAATCAGGGCGTCGCTTCGATCCAGTTCATATCCTCTTTTCTCGAGACAATCAGTGACAGCCAGAAGATCCGATGCTAGAATCAATTTATCACTGTCTCTCAGAATCCGCACTTCAAATATTTTGTGCCAAAAAGTCTTGGTCGACAATTCAATGGGAAAAACGAAATTTGACAGATCAGCGCCATTATCCAAGAGTACATCGACCAAACGCGGGTCTGGACCCTCGACAGCCAACTGCAGTGGTGTACGGCCCGAGTTGTCACGAGCATCAAACTGTACCAGCTGACCGAGTTCCCTGTTGGTCTCGAAGAACACCTCCAACGTTGCGGATGCCGTCCAAAAGCCCTTGCTCGTAATGTGCAGAGGTGTGAATCCTTCGTTATTAGCCAAGTTCGGATTGGCGCCGTTTTTCAGCAGCAATTCGACCAACTCATCGTTTGGGTACTTCAGAGCATAGTGCAACGGTGCATTGCCCCACTTGTCCCGGGTGTTGACCTGAACCGGACGATATTTTTCATTGCTAAGCTCGAATATCATTTTTGCCAAGTTCTTGTATTTGCCTTCCTCGTATTTGCAAATGTAGTGCAGAGGCGTCGATCCTTCCTTGTTGGCCAAATTCGGATTGGCCCCGCCTCTCAGCAGCAATTCGACCAACTCGTGCTCCGGGTTCCTCAGAGCGTAGTGCAACGGCGAGTCGTCGTCTTTCGTGAGGCAATTGGGGTTTTGACCGGCCTCGAGGAATTTCTTCACCTCGTCCGCGCAGTTCTGATAGCAGGCCAGATGGAAATGTGTGATTCCAAATTTGTCGGCATAATTCAGATCGAACCTGTCGTATATTTGGAAAAGTTCAGGAATGATGAATGCTATATCGTTTTCCAACGCATTATGTATTGGTGTGCAGCGACGCAAGATTGGCTTGCCGTCCACATCAATATCGGGCTCGTCCTTGTAGCCGGTCTCGATCACAAAGTATATAATGGAGATGTCAAGCCGATCTACAGACTCCTTGAGAATCCAATCGATTGCTTCGGGCTGAAAAATATCTCGAAGATTTGGAAGATCGCCCTCATAATTTCTGATCAAGTCACAAACTTCACCAAGAAATTGGTGATTCATTTCTCCGATCTGTCGATAAGCCACACCTTCATTAGAGCCGTGCAATGTGCTTAAACAGTTTTTGTTGTCCTCGGCCATTGTTCTACACACTCACGCAAAAGCACAATAACCATTTGAAATTTAAAATAATTTTTTTTTCACAAGAACCACTTGCTGCAGTTGATGCGATAATTTTTCGTTGTTCGCACTGCGGGCTCCGTAACAGATACTGACTTTAACTGACTGTGTGAGCGCGAACAACGCCTATTAGGCACCGATTTATTCCTTTTCACGATAATCACTCGCTACAGTTGATGTTATTTCGTTCACGCTATGGCTACGTAACGAACGATTTCACGAATAATTTTGCCTTTTCACATGTACTTGATGATCTATATTGAGGATCGCGCTTCGCGCTCCCTCTGGCAAGTATGTCAAAGAGAGCTGCCGCGTACGCTTCCTCACATACAATTGAGTTTTTCGCATCCCGCGAAAACTATTTTTCACTCTCATTTAAATTTGACAGTAGATATACTTATTCTGATAAGTGTTATGGATTTAATTATACACTGTTATAATGGGAGCGAACTTTAGCTATGGTCGTTTGTGAACATGCACCAACACACACTGATAAAAATTTACGAACTCCGTCATGAAATCCGCTGTGGTGAGGGAAGTAAAATGTTGTCTTGGTTCATGAAATCCTATAATTCTTGGGCCAACCACAGCGGATTTCATGACGGAGTTCGTAAATTTCTATCAGTGCACACAGCTCGAGTGAGCCAAGCACTATGCATGACACTGCATGAAGGCCTTCCATTAATTAAGTAAGGGTCTTTGGGAGGAGGGATAGGAAAACCACTTACATGACGGGGGGAGGGGTCGGAAAAATCGAAAAACACCATTACGTAATTAATGTAAGGCCCCCACAAAGACGTTGCAAAGACACGTGAGCGACCCAAGCAGTAGCCCCGCAGCAGAAGCTCGGCTCTCAAGATCGACGTCCACTTACATCGCATCGCGCGAAAAACTCCGTCTATAAGTATTCGATGTATTCAAACAATTATGGTGCTCACTCGTTTTTTACAAGTTAATGCTTCTATGGTCCAACAAACGTGAAATAAATTTTTCTTCGATAAAGTATACATGCGGAAGTAAAATATAATCTCATTTCCATCGTAACTTCTTGCAATTCTCACCCGCTTTCATGGCTAATTGCAGCGGTGTCCAGCCCAGCTCGTCCTGGGCGTTGACCTGCACCGGCTCATATTTGTCGTTACAGAGTTCCAATATCATATTTATGAAGTCATCGTCGGAGCCATTCTGAAGCAATCTAGCGAACTCTGTCTCTGAGAAATCTCCTTACATATACGATTATCACATGTTCGCTCGATTTCTATAACTTATCTTCTCCATCCAACGCGCCTATAGAAGTTTCAATTCAAAAACGGTTGTCATACAAGAAAAGAGAGTTACATCTCATTTCGCAGCAATTGTCAAAGTGACGAGGCAAGATACTCACGACTGTTCCGAGCACTCTTTAAGTGACTTATTTTTTGTTTCGCGCGACTCACGCAAGTTTACCGTGCAGAAAGCGTACAACGACGTATAAAATACATATCCTGATCCTATTTTGTGCTGTCTTGCTCGTATATATATACATACATAAATGCATATATAGCCCCCGTCGTACAGACAAGTGTTTAATTGACTTGTTCTCGCTCGAGAGGCTTAATAAGGATTCGTCGTCGTCGTCGTCGTCGTCGTCGTCGTCGCATCGACTTCTGTGCCCCACGTATATATTATAGTATATAGTTTCTCCTCTCGTGCGGATCTCCTCTCTGTCTCGAGTCAAAACCCTTATATATAATGGTATAGATCTATATATATGTACAGCAGCAGAAGCGCAGTGTGATGTCGACGACATTATGTAGCAACGTTGGAACACGCGATCTCTCCTGCTCTCTCGGTCTCTAAAGACTTTCTCTCTTCGTTCATTGCAGCCGCCACCACCGTCGAGAAGATAGAGTTCTCTTCTGTACATATATATCGGGAAATATAAGACGCTTGCAGAAAAGGGGAGCGAAGTAAAGATAAAACGCCCGCAGCAGCTGATCGGGTCTCTGTGAGTTAAATTATACACACTAAACACATATTGCGCGCGCGCGGCAAAAAAGCAAGTAAAGGATTCGTCGCGCGACTCTTGCCGCGCGAGAAGCGAGAGAAGTAAATTAATCGGTTTTATATTTCACGCGGCGGCCTAAGCTGCGAACGACTTTAATATATAGACTTTTCATCAGAAATATTAACCTGAGTTGAAATATTTTTCAAGCTAGCTGCTCTCTCTCTCTCTCTCTCTCTCTCTCTCTCTAGGTGCTCTGAATAAAGTACGTCGTCATATACTCGGTCTCTCTCTCAATATGAGTTATTTCCTACGTGTCAGGCCGAGTATTTGAATGAGGGAATTTTAGGAATTCTCAGTTGAGCATTGCGCTTCGACCTTCTAATTCAGCTTGCGAGACTTATAGTAGTGAGCTTATAGCTGTGCGAGAGAGAGACAGAGAGAGAGAGAGAGATCTGATAAATTATACGCGATTCTTATAGGAGCGATGAAGCCTCGCGTTAATTATCAGTATTTCTTTTTGTACAATATTACGTCTTTTCGCGGGAGACTTTTCGTAAAGTAGTTGATTTCGTTGAAAGTGGGTAATTTTTGAGTGATTGAGAGCCAAGGCTATGATGTTATGCAAATAGAAATAGATTTTATACTTTGTGCGCGTGATGAAATTTGGAAACGAATACAGTTGAGTCCTTTGGAGAAAATTTTTGATTCCTTTGCAAAATAATAAAATATCTTCTGCAGAGTTTGAAATTTAGTCAGGCATCGATGCTGCAATTAACGCAAACATACGTAAATTAACTGTAAATAACTATAATAAACTAACGTAAAATTAAACAGAAAAATTAGCTGACTTTTTGATGCAAAACTTCTAACGGGATGTTTGATAAGACAATTTTAATAAGTAAAAAACACATATTTCATTAAAAATTCATTACTAATTATATATTTTCACAAAGTTGCTGATTGTTTTTGAATACGAGCCATATTTAAAAAAAAGTCCTCTTACAATTGATTTTTTATCGTAACAAGATTTATCGTCACATTTGATTGTAAGCTTTTTGATACCGTCAATCGATGGTGTATTGCAAACTGCTAAGTGGGAACAAAATTTTCGTAGGGTACATTGATTTTTTACATTTAAAAACATAATTGTCACTTGCAATCGGGTAAATCTCATCTTGATTTACGAATTTTACTTTGCTTTATAAAAATCAAACTTCGATCGTATGTACTCTGAAGTTGGCTCGATCGCAGACTAGTTCTCCTCGTGTCATTCTCGGTTCGTCGTACACACAAAATTGTTTGGTTAGTTCATCCGTCACACCGGTTATTTTTTTTTCTTAATATTTTGGCTACTTTTATCACCAAAATTTCAATCAATTTGCGAGTCGATCATGGATAAAAACGGGCCGGACGCACGGGGGTCCAAGTGCGCGCGTGACAACGGCGTCGTCTGCGCGGGCAAGAGCAGCAGTGACTCTCGTAAAAAACGTCCCCAAGACCCGCCAAAGTATTACAATAAAAATTATCTCAGGCGTTACAATCAGAACGAGTCCACGACGTCGTTAACATCGTCGAGAGTCGCGTCGCGTTCACCCGCTCGAGGCATCCCCAGCAGCAGCAGCAGCAGAAGAAACACGTCTGCTGCTTATGCTCCGACTGATCAAACTTCTTCTGCGGGCAAAAATCAACAAAAGTATGCGTAATACTTACTTTTTCACTTAAACAGTAGCTGAAACTCTGTGCTTCTCAAAACACCGACTCTTCATCACGTCCACTCGGTAGAGAGATTTACTTTTAGTTCAATTTCCTTTTTTTTTCAAGTTGAAATCACTCCTGAAATGTTGAAGAAGTTTCTACAACTTTTTACCAATCATGAGCTACTATTTATATTTCTTGATTGATAAAACGTGATGTCAATAAATTTAAAAGATATAAATTAATGCTTTATTATCTCGTTACAAAATATCAATAATAATAATACGACTTTCAGAACAGATCCCGAAGTAAACAAAAACGAGAGCTCCGTCAATCCTTACAATCGAGCTCTGCGTGAAACCTCTCAGGTCTCAGCTACCGGTGCTGCTTCTACTGGCCAGCAGCAACAGCAACAGTCGTCGTCGCCGCCGAGCGAACAAGATTACCAGTACAGCAGTCTAGTTAATACGATGTCCTCGCCGGTCAAATCAAACAGCTATTTCAAGTGCAGCGTCGAGTCGTCGTCGGGCATTTGCAGCCGAGTCGTCGAAACCAGTGGTGGCATGACTAATGAGCTTCTGCTTTCGATTTCCGGCGAGGGCGAGGCCTCGAGCGTAGGCGGCGAGTGGACGAGACACGAGAGCTTCAAAAAGATCAAGAACCACGTCGAGGATGCCGTGAAGGTAAAATGTGCTTTGTGCGTCTGTGTGACTGTGATTACGCGATTTTAGTACTTGCGAATTTTTATCATCCGCTCGGGAACGTTTTTCGACGTAAGCAGATTAAATTATTTGACTTTTAGTAAAATATTCAAGAAGGACGAAAAAATCTCAAACATTTTTTAATATTTAAAAATTTTTCTTTAATGCATTATCGAGAGACTTTTTTTCCCTGAAACACAGAATTAAACTTGTATAATGCGCACAGCATTAAAATATTAATGAGAGAAAATGTACAAAAAGTCGATGCCTTTGACAACTTCTCGATAGAATTATACCTTGTACGAATGACAAAAAATCAATAATTTCTTTCTTCTTCGTCGACATTACCCCGTTGAAAAAGCAATTAACGCAGTATTTTTACAGCGTGACACCGATGCTGCAATTTCTCTTTTTTTTCGCTCGTACATAATTTGCACGTGTTCCGACTCGTGTAGAAATGCGCCTCGAGCCTGCGTAACAATGATAAAAAAAAAAAAAAATGGAGAAATGAAATTTAGATCGTCACATAAGATAGACGCGTAATAACCTTCCTCTCGTTTCGCTCGTTAGCTCGCGCCTCCGAAACTTGATTTTTCACCTCTCCTCTTGGTTTTATTTACCTCCCCCGCTTTTACACGCAGAAGCACAAGGTTTTCCTATTGCGAGGCGAGCTGCCAAGGCTGAAGGAGGCCCTTGAGGAGCGCGGCTGGATCCAGAAGTACGAGTCGACCAGGACGAGATCGCTGCCGTATGGTTAGTTTCCCTCGCTCTCTTTATATTCTTGAAACTATATTCAATCTCACGGTCGCGCGCGTAAGGGCCGACGTACTACAAACTCACCCACCCACGCATACACATGACTATAAATATGAGCTCGTGTGTGTGTAAAGCAAATATTGTCGAGAAGGAGAAGAAGAAGAAGAAGAAGAGAGAGAACATCGTTTCCCAGGCAGCAGTAAGCTTTATACATAAAGCTCGAGAATAATGACCGTATGAAAGTTTTGACGAGGTTCTCTCACTCTACGGCTTGCACCCACACACACAGCACACACGATGTAATATCGTTTATAAGGGAAGAGAAAATAAGCGTTGAGTGAGTTTTATATATATGAACGGCTTATTCTCTCTTATACTCGCTGCTGCTGCTGCTGGCGCTTATATAACTTGTAGGTTATTTTTATTATTATTTACGCACTCGCCGGGCTAGCGAAGAATTTACGCGGTTTACAAAACTATTATTACGCTATATATATTTTTGCAAAACTCGAACTGCGAGTAGTACGATATTTACAGAAGGGCTGGTCGTCGTCGTCGTCGTCGTCGTCGTTGTGAAACGTTTAAATTACACACAATGGGAGAACTTCAATTAATCTTTAAAAGCGATCGCGCTGCGTACACACGAAGATCGTTTACTCGAGATTTATTTTATAAACTTTTCTCTCCCTCTCTCTTCGAAAATATTCCGTGTCTGACTAAAATCGGTGTAAACTACTGGATTCTATACCACTGACTTTTAAGTTTTTGATACTTGGTATAATATTTTACATTAATTGGTTTCGAAAATTTTATAAAACTTTGTAAAAGTTCTAGGTTGACTGATGGCTCTCTCTCTCTCTCTCTCGCGCGTATAAAGTCATTAAAAAAAAGTGCAAAAAAAATAGTAATAAAATTTCTCTCTCCCGCACGCTAATGCAATACTGACGAGGACGACGACGATATACATACATATACAGCTACGACGACGATGATAAAATACGATACTCGACTCTTCTTTTTAACCGCGGGTGCACTTTATACACCACTACTTTACCACTACTATATATACACAGGTTGCTCGACGTCGCTCGAGGCCAAGTCGCTGGGCGACGTGCGTATGCCGGACGGCACGCTGAACGAGCGGGCGCTCACCTACTTCCTGCTGCGTCACGCGCAGCCCGACTTCATCTGGGACTGTCGCAACGACTTCGTCGAGTGGGATCGCGGCATCGGCTCGGCTGTGCTCCTCAATCGCTTTCAGAAGCCCTCGTTATACACTTCCAAGGTAAGGTACCTATACACACTAAGTCGACGGTTTGCGGCAGAGAAGATTCCGCATCTTTGCCATGCATATAAGCATCAGATCGGAGAGCGAGCGACGCTATCAAAGAGTCCCGTCATCGACTTGCTTTGAGCTTTTTTTAAACACGAAAGTTAGAGGCAGGATGATGTATTTTTCATATAGACATCGAGATCGTCGAGGGTTTCGTGTATGCATGATATTTAATTAAAGTGGTTTTTGATATGTTTTGGGAAAATAGGGTAGTAAGGACAGTTAATTAAAAATGTTTTGGGAGGAATAATTTTATTTTAGAAAATGCTTACCCCGTTAAATAATTATCCGTACGTTGATAAAACGAACATTTAATTATAAATCCAATTAGTTCGAATGAATATTTTAATTGGGTGAATAATATAATCTAAAACGTTCAAGCACGATAACTGATCAATGAAAGTTACCATATTATAAAATAAGGATACTTTTTAGTTTTGTAAAAAAGTGAGTGACGCAACCAAATACTGAAAAACCTTCCGACGTTTTATGAGCTCGCGCGTTTAGTATTCAAAGTATTCAACGTATGTTTCGTAAATAAGTCGGAGTAAAAAAAAAGCACCTCCAGAAAATAAAATGACTATGAACGCGATCAAAGTGAAATATCGATGTGAATAAGTGAAGTGGCCATTTGGGCTCGAGAGGAGGTAAAGAGAGAGAGAGAGAGAGAGAGCAAGAACAGCCTCCCCTGAACAGGACGTACGAAGCCATAAGTCGAGCTTAAGCTTCCCCCTACGATGTATGCTCTCGATACATCGCAAACGATCCTCGGATATATCAGTTCAAGCTAAAACGTATATATGTATAGACGATGATGGCGTGCACACAGGTTACGCACTCGAATGTCTTATTCTCCTTTTTTTTAAAGGAATGTAGTAGTAGTACTACGTCTATGTGTGTGCAGTGTGCGTAAACAATTGCGGCAAGGTGATGCCTCGCGTGTAATACTCGATCTCTCATGCCGCTTTGTCCTTTTTTTCCTCCTCTTCTCTCTCGTTTCCCGCCGCACATTCTTCTTGCTTCGACGAACACACAACCAACCAACCAACCACCATCACCCTCTGCTCTTGCTCTCGACGCCGCACAGCTCGGAATGGCTCACGTGCTGCAAGAAGCGCACTGGCTCCACGAGACGAATGTGGCGGACGTGTTTTTTCCGCGCTGCTACAATCCCAGCCGCGAGCTCTCGGCCCTGGTGCAGGACTTTCGTCGTAGCGCCGCCATAGTCGTGCTGCGCTGCTTCGTCGACCGCATGCGAAATAACATAGCCACTGGCTTGACACCCGCGCCGGTTTCGCAGGCGGAGAATCAAGCGGGAGCAGCCGTTGTTTCGACTGACAAACAGGTGAGACGAGAAGAGGTCATTTTCATCCCCCGTTGTGGCCTTTTTTTGTTTTTTTTTGGCTTTGTCGCCGCAAAGACGTGTCCGTGCGCGAAACACGAGTGGAATATATTTCTGCCGACACGTTTTATGGGTGACGTTAAAAACTTCTTAGTGCAGCGATTTATCAGCGTTTGTGCTGCTTGGATATTTATTTCGGTAAATTTAACACGTGTAAAATTTAACATCATTAAAAGTTTGTTTAAAAACGTAAATTCGAATTCAAATAAATCTCTCGTGCGTCCGATTCAAGCCTCTGATTACTAATTAATTGTAACGAGTTCATTAGCGAAATGATGAAAACAACAACAACAACAACAACAACGATGGTCGTCAGAACGAGATTTATCTGAATCTGGAGCCCGTGGAATTTTGCATCAGGGCCTGCCGGGAGTACGTTGCGGAACTCGAGCACGAGGACATCGACATGGACTCGGACAAGGAGATAAGCGACGAGGAGTGGCGCTCGTTCATCGAAGATTACGACAAGGTTCTGTACAAGATCGAGGCGCTGGATGAATTTTCCAAAATTACCGCCAGTGGACTCGAGGTATACAATTTTGATTATTTTAATCAAGATATTCATTTCGTGTACTCGAGGCGCTGAAAAAGATGATGGCGCAACCTCGATCCAGTCGACTCGCGCATTTAGAACTTTTTCATCAGCGCGCCCGAAGGCCATAATAATAATAAAAAATGGGATACACGGTAGTAATTGTAATATTGAGCCGCGTAAGTAAAAGCGGAGGGCGCGGACGAGAGCCGTACGTACATTAATCATTCTCCTGCGGGGAAAGAAGAGTATATAGCAGTGGTATAACGGCACACTTCCTCGCGCGATGCGCTGCGCTTGTTTATAACGGCGGTGAAGCCGAGTAGCCAACAACGCGCAAAAACTTGAAAAATAACGAGAGAACAAAGTGCAGTCGAATGGTCGGGATTTGTATTTCCAACCCCCGAGAGTTTTCGGAGGAAGAAAAGGAGATAGCTGGGTCGAGCAGCGACTACTTAAAACGAGATGCATATCTGTTTTCCAAGTGTAAACAGGAGGAAAAAAATGGGACATGGAAATAATTGCTCGAGTAGTTGTGTATTTTACAATTATAAATAGAACCGATGATTCTATACGTCCTCGTGTGTCTTGCGTAGTTAAAATGCCAACTTATTCAACTCGGTTAAGCAGAGGAAACAAGATATAGACGTGAAAGGGGAGCAAAGGAATTCGTATACGTATAAAGCTCTATTCCGTTGGTATTCGTTTATTCGCGCGCCACCCTAGATTCTTTTTTTTTGTATGCAACTGCATCGCTCGCGCGTGTATATATTCTGTTGATTTTCGCCCTCCTTTCTTCTCAATCTCTCTCCTTGAGTATACGGACAAAAAAAAACTGCTGATTCACTTGAAAAAACACCACAAAGTTTCGCTTTATGATAATGGACCACCACCACCCGACCTTCTTCTCTCTCAAGCATGAGCAGAGCAGCAAGAGAGAGAGAGATGAATTATTTCGAGCGTTAGCGATAAGGGAGCGCGGCAGCGAGAGTAGTAGAGCTAACGTAGCCAACACTTTTTGAGAGCAGCAGCAGTGCTGCAGGACTATGTATATGTGTGTGTGGGTGTGTGCGTTTGAATCTCGAGTGTCGAGTTGTAGGGTTGATGGAGTTATTACTAAGAATCGAGAGAGAGGATCTATTGTCGAGTGACTTTTATACACGGAATAAATTTACTTCGCCTTTGATAGATGACCACCGCCAGCCGACACACTTTTCCGCGTGCTTTCTATATTTTTATACCGACTCATGACTGATGCGAATTTATTCCGAAACGATACTTCCGTACGTACGTACGTACGCGAAAACTGAAAAATACACAAATTTTTTTGCACGCCCTCCAAGCGATGTCTATTCATGATTGATCTGTTATTTATAATAATTATTTTTCGATACGTACAAGTTTTTTTCTTCCCCCTTTTTGTTGTACGATAGGAATGTTACTCCGTGGCACAAGCCGTTCTGGATAAGCTCAAGTGCCTCGACTCGCAGTACGAACTCAACGGCGCCAGGAATATCTGGATCGTGAAGCCGAGCAATCTCTGCTGCGGCTCGGGCATCTTCATGACCCACGAGCTCAAGACGATCTTGAGAAAAGTCGAGTCCAAGCCCAAGGATTATTACATCGTGCAGAAATACATCGGTAAAATTTATTTATTCAATTTTTAATGGAATGAAATGTAATTTTATAAATTTTTTATTTTTCAGAGCGTCCGTTTTTGGTGTATGGAACGAAATTCGACATACGTCAATGGTTCCTCGTTACTTCGACCTATCCCATGACCATATGGTCGTTCAAGTATGCTATTTATAAAATTAAACGAAGATAATAAGTTAGACTCTAAAAGTTCGATTTTAAAATAAACCTTATCGTCCATACTAAACGATTTAATTCGAGCTAGTACAAATCGATATTAATATCCGGAAGGCAGTGGGTATAGTTTCGAATCTCCTTCGAGTGCGCACACACGACACACATTCGAAAGAGTAGTCCCTCGCAAGCTTGGGTCAACTCGCGATCCATCTCAATTCCGAAACAAGCGATGGGAATATCGTATTTGTCGAGCGAGATAGCTTTGGACTCGTGCGACTTGTAACACATACATAATATATAATGGGCTCTTGCCTCCTTCCTGCGTCCTTCAGGGAGGCACTGCTGCGCTTCAGCTCGAGGCCCTACACGCACACGACCTATCACGAGGCCATCCACCTCTGCAACACCGCCGTCCAGGAGAGGTACGACTACGAGCGCCGGCGACGTAAAAATCGCTACGCAGCTTCGACGGCTAGCAGTACCACCGGTGGAGAGGAGCAGCAGCAAAGGGATCGAGACCGGGATCTGCTCGAACCGACGGTGCGAGATCAAGGATGGGATTGCGAAAAGCTGAACGAATATTTGAAGTAATTTCACCCGATTTTACTCTTCTTCTTCCCCCTTTTTTATTATTTTTCGAATCCTCGAAATCTGATGTATGTGACGCGCGGTGTGGGTGGGTTGGATGAAAAAACTCACACAGCGCAGCAGTGGCAGCAGCAGCACACACGATTCATTGGATTTCAAGGTTTTGCTGCGCTCGTTTTTTGCTCCGTCGTGTGCCCTAGCTAAATTTCTCCGGAGTTTGCTATTTGTGATCTCTGCTGCACACACACCCAGAGCTACATCATTCTCCCTCTCTCCCTTTTCTGCGTTACTACCTCTCTGAATACCTCTTTTTTTTACAACTCGAAACAAGCGAAACTTGTTATCCGTGTCGCTCTCTCTCTTCTCCTGTGTACACTCTGTACGTATACGCGTAGCGCGGCAAAAATATACAACTACGCTTACACACACGTTTATGTATACGCAGTTTAACAAAAATCACTCGCTGTCCCTTCGTTGTTCCCTGCGCGACGACGAAGTAAATATATACGCGGACTTTTTTTCTATATACTCCCGCGACGCAATTAAACTCCTCCAATTATTTTACTGCGCGACGGACGCGTATTTCCTTCAAAGGATATTCGTTATAATGAATTCGCTTCGCGTTCTTTTGTGCACTCTTTTTCTTTATTCTTTATAATGATTTTATATTCTCTTTTATAAATTCGATATCGAAGTTATATATCGTATCAAGATTCGAAAAAGTAATCAAATAATTCATCGTGAATATTAATATAAAAATCCACGCGCGAGTTTTCAGCATTTCACCGCGAGTGTATAGCTTCGGTATAGTGTCGGATATCACGAGTCAAGAGAGCACGTTTTCATTTACCTGCCTTTCTTTTCATTTTTCTTCTTCTTTCTCTGCATTTGTGTAAAAACATCGGAATCGATAATTTTTGTCTTTTTTCGATGATTGTCGAGGTACACTTAATTTCATGAATCGCTGATTAATTGTTTTCATGATTTTAATACATTAGCGCTTGGGAGATTTTTCATTCTCGTAATCCCCGCGGAGGTCTCTTTGAATCAACGCATACGTACAAGAATAATAAACGTTTGACATAGCGTGGCTTTATGGAGCAGAGAGTAGGAGGTTTCATTAATTTCTCAAATATACACTCTTTTATATACATATATCGCGCGCCAACGATTAGCCCTTATATTTTAAAAGGGATTAAACGAGCGTACCGAGGGAGTTCTCTCCGTATTATAACATATAGGAATATAAAGGAGAGGATTCGCCTAGGAAATCTTTGCTATGACGAGAAGCTCGCTGCGCCTCGTCCTCGTCGTCGTCGTCGTCTTCCTTTAACCCACCAAAGAGACTTTGAATTTCAAGTAACTTAATTCTTCGCGTGCTCTCTTGATTCCTTCCAATTTATTTAGCATCGTCGCTTACTACCACTACTCTCCTTTCTCTCTGTGTTCTCTCTCTCTCTGCACTAATTCAATAACAGAGAATTTATGAAAGTTATAGTACACCAAAGAGTTGGGTTAAAGAGAATAAAAAAAAGAAAAAGAAGAAGAGGGAAGAAAATGAATCGTTGTATTAATTACCTTTTAAGATCTCGCGTTTTATTTATGATAAATATAACATACATCGTAATATGTTACCCCGCATTGAGAGTACATTTTTTACAAGCAATCAATTTCCCAGCGTTAATTACACCGGGTTCGGAAATTTCCTTTTTTTTCTTACACAGCGGCAGCAGCAAAACGTCGACAAGGGAACTTTCTTTGCTGCTGGTGCAGCTATTTTAAGCTGGCGCGCGCTCGCGAAAAAGGCATTCATTTTATCGATAAAAAAGAAGCGTTTAAAAAAAGTTTTTTTTTCTTCTTCTTTCCTCCTTTCCAACACAGGAGCGTGGGTTACGAAGGTGAGCCGTACTACGAGAAGATATATCCGAAGATGTCGCAGGCCATAGTGCTGACCATGCTCGCCGCCCAGGACTTCATGGATCGTCGACGCTGCAGCTTCGAGCTCTACGGCGCCGACTTCATGATAATGGAGGACCTCTCCGTGTGGCTGATCGAGATTAATACGAATCCAAGGATGCACCCGCCGAGCTCCAAGATCACCCAGCGTCTGTACGGCTCCGTGCTCGACAGCTTGGTAAAAGGTACGTACGGTCGAGATATGATAATATGTAAATTGGAGCAAAAATTTTCGACCAGCGATTGTTTGCGCTGTTCGCTTGTAAATTTTATCTTCTTATTTACTCTTCGATACGATTCGACTCTCTCGCTCGCTCGCTCGGCTCCGATGAACGAAAAACTCTAAATAGGGCGCGAAAAATAGAGAATTTTACATCGAGTTTTTCCTCGTTTATTGCCTGCTGCTTCGCCCGGAAACATTGATAAAAAAATTGACTTTTATTCATTTTCATCCGGAGAGTGAGCTCTGGAAAACAAATATGCAGAAAACAAAAAAAAAAAAAATAGAAGAAAAATGCGCTTGAAATATGTGCATTTTCACTCCCCGTTGTGTTCTCCTTATTTTAAAATGAAATTGCATTCAAAATTCGCGTTCGTCTATTATTTAAAAAGGAAGAAAACAACGGCATTAGAAATGTTTTTCCATTTCTCAAAAAAAAAATAAATAAATAAATAAATCGTATTCACGCAAATAGCAGTGAAAAGTAAACTATATACGTAAAAAATACAGTGGTAATGGACCTGTCGACGAATCCCGCGGCCGACACGGGCGGCTTCGAGCTCATCTACAAACAGATCATACCGGAGACTCAGCCCTACCTCGGGCCGTGCTTCTTCGCCTTCGGCAAATCGATGGTGCTGAATGAGCCGGTGCTGAAAAAACGACCCGGTTACGGCGGACACGATGGAAGTAACGGCAGTGGCGGAGGTAATAGCAGCGGCTCGTTCGTGCCCATGGAGCCTTGCTGCGGTCATCATGGCAAATAGAGATGTAACTGGCGGCGATTCGAGAGTTCTCGGTTTTCGGTATATAAATTTCGAAATGTAATCGTTGAATGGAACCGAGTCGAAATTCCAAGTGTAATAACAGAAACTCTCAATTAAAATATTGAGAAAAAAATTTTTTTTTCTAATAAAAAGTGAAACGCCAATGTATTAAATTAAAATAAAGTCTACTAAAAATGATTCGTATCGATAGCAATCGACACACCATCTCGAACAGTCGTTGATTTTATCGCCCTTTTTAACTCTCGCTCACAATATCCTCGGCACACACAAGTAGCCGTATATAGATATGGACAGTTGTATGTGGCGATGGTGCTGAAACTCAAGAGAGAGAATCCGAGCTGCTAGATTACCGCTGATTGTTTTCTTGAAATATACTGCTCGGCAGCTTCGAGGGGGGCAGTCTCTATTATTACGATTGTTATAAGTGTTATATGTGTATGTGAGTGGTGAGCTCCATGTGTCATTTAGTAACGAGCGACTATGGCTGAAGTTTATTTTGTCGAGTTATTGCGAGATGAAGAGGATGATACGTGAGAGGAATGGAGGTGTGTGTTTGAAGAGGCGACGTAATTTTTTATTCATTATATATCTTTCGCAGAGATCAGAGCAAACATTGGTCGGAAGATGAAATGCTAAATGAAAAATCAGAAGAAAAAAAGGAATCGAGTGAAGGAATGGTAAGTATAAAATTTCGAATTAATTTTTAAGACTTTTTCACATCGCTTTATTTAATAGATTTTTATACTATTAATATGTACATCAGAGAAACATAGTTGAGTAGTAATTTTTTTTTTTTCATTTTTTTTTCTCACTAGCTATTGCCTGTCAACTAGTCGACGTTGTCATTTCGCAGCGACATGTATCTCTCGTTAAACACATTACATATACGCATTTTTTTTCGGATGTGTGTCGTCAATCATTTTATAAACGGAAGGAGTATAATTTTTTTTTTATTACGGAGATATTTTTTTTTCTTTAATGATATGTATATACAGAAAAATCGTATCGTTATTATGTACAAAAATTGCATCGCGGGGGCCTTTAGAAGCCCTCGTTTTACAAATTATCATTCACGTTCAAATCTATATGGCTTCGAATAATAAAATACTAATATTTGTTGTTTTTTTTTAACTATAGGTGTATTGGATCGATTTTCAAGTTTTTTCGCGTCTGCGTCAACAGTTTTCTTATTAAATAAGTATATATACTCTTATCTTACACACTCACTCATTCACAGCTTTAATAAACTCTACGAATCCTGGCATTTTATAATTTACACAAACCCTTGACCTTTGTTACAAAAAACATAGCATCGGCCAGTAGTCCCAGAATCAGCAGCAGCGTCAGCGAGGGCGCGTACAGCGTCGTGCTGCCATCCCCGTGATACATTGCCGCCGGATGCTCCTCTGCAAAGAAAGACAGAAAAGAAAAATATAAAAACGTAATTTTTACTTCGAGAAGTTATTGCGTCAAAAATGTAAGTATGTAACTTTGCATAAAATATAGGCCATGACTTTTTCCCTTGAAAAGAGCACAGAGAGAATATTGGGTGCATATCCGTTTTAATATATACACGTATGAAAAAAAAGGGAGCGAGAACGCAAGGGAGAGGTCTCTTTGGTACATATACACGTAAGAGAGCTCTCGGGTGCCACTGGCGCGGCTTCATAAGTCAACGCGAGAACTTTCCTAGGCAGACGCAGCAGTAGCACACGAAGACAGAAGTAAAAAAGACCCTCTCTCTCGAAGGTAAAACGAGTGCAAAATGTGACATAACGCGGCGCGTGCCTGACTGCCTGCCTCGGCGCGCGAGAAAGATAATAGATTTCAAAAGAGACTGAGAGAGAGCTAGCGTAAGTTGAAAAATTGGCCCGAGACTTCGTTGCGACTGTTTGGATTTGCAGTAGCTCGCGAGAAAGAGAGAGAGAGAGAGGGATGACCAAAAATGGATGAAGTTCTCTTCTCTGCAAGCTCAACCCAGCCAGCCATCTTTTTTATCCCTGTCTCGAAGAAACGTCGCGACGGAGACAAATCGTACGTCGTATATCATCACCGCGGGTGCTCGTGTTAACCCCTTAGATATAAGCATTACACACACACACATTTCCCGAGTCAGAAGTCCTTACCGTGTGTCTCATTGCGGAGGGCTCTAAGGACACACAACGTCTTTATAAATAAAGTAGGTGTACACGCGAGAGTTTATGTGTGTCAGTGGCAAACACGTAAGCCCGGCCCGACACTTTTTTTTCTCTCCTATGACTCCCGATGAGCGGCGACGGCGTTAACGTTTACTTTTATAACTCGAACAAGTGCCTTATATATGTATTACGTGCGAGAGAAAGCGAGAGTCTTATGTATTAACGACGGCCATTCGAGCAGCAACGGCGACCCCCTGCTATACTACTACATCCTGCTGTGTGCTACGTTATATATGTTGTACACACATTATACATGAGCTATACAAGGGTGTGGAGAGAAATGCCGATGCTCGATAATACACACTCCTCGAAAAGTTTTCGCACTCGCGCCTTTTTTTGCTCTCTTCGTTGTAACAGCTCTTTGAGTGCCTTCTTATTCGACAAAGTGCTCTTAATTACTCGGCGCGAATGTTATCTTCTTTTTTTTTTATTTACGCTCGCTCGCGATGTATCTCTCTTTCCACTTAAAAAAACATAAGCTGCCAGAGGGGATATGTGCTACTATGCCACGTACGCTACACATAATTAATATTTTTTCTGTATTATATACAAAAATATACGCTCATATAATGCGCTAGTGCGCGTGTGTGCCTGCATAAACATCGTCGCAGCTCTCGAGTGCTTTTTTTATCCTTGAATAATAACGAGTCTCTTGCTGCGTGAGCTCTGCTTTAAATATTATAATTGCACTTTAGTATGACTGATGATGATTTTTTGTGTTTTGTGCCGCGCTTTCACGCGCGAAGAGCCAACGCCAGCTTTATACTATATATGTAGCACGCGTGCGTAAATAATATAAAGAAATAAAGTGTGTTAGCTCGTTTACTCGACTTGCGCGCGCGTTGCAGCTTAATCTAACGTGATGGGCATAAAGTATGAATATTCATCATCATCTCTCTCTCTTTTTTTTAATCGCGAGCACGAAGACGGTTGAAAATGGCCCGATGCGAGAGCTCTCGCGAGAGCAAGGGGAAAAAGTATTAGGCGAAAATTATAATTAAGTAAATAAATGAGTATCTCAGTTAATGACATAATGTTCATAAGCCATCTAACTATTTGGTAGATATAAAAAAAGATCTATAGGTAGAGGGATGTTTTGCCATCGCGATTCATCACGTTATTGGCCTCCGGGTCAATGAGGCTTACACATCGCTCCCGACATCCCGTGAAATAAAACGATGGCTGGCTTTTCTTCTCTCTCTCTCTCTCTCTCTCTCTCTCTCTCTCTCTCTTACTCTTTCTTTTCTCGCCATAAAGTCTCTCGAGCAAATAGAAAAAAGAAGAAAAGAAAAGAAAGAAAAGGAAAAACTCGAGCGTCGGGGGAGAGTATAGAAATGAAATGTATATGCTTCTTGACACGTATCTCTCTATCTATATAATAATAGCCGAGCGAGACGTTGTAACGCAACGAGGCACTCCATAATAATAAAGACGTTGTGCGATATTTACCCTTGACAACGTGCACTCTTATGCTGCCGGGATTGGCGTTGCTCGGCTGGCAGCTGTAGACCCCGGAGTCGCTGGAGACCGCGCGCTGGATCATCAATCTCGACGTGGTCTCCGGGCCCTTTTCCGTCACGAGGCTGATGCCGCCGCGCGGCGAGTCGAAATTAATTTCCTGCGAACGAGTGAATAAATGCATTATAATTATTATTATTATTATTATTATTATTATTATTTTTGCTTCGTAACCCGATCGATCGAAATTCCGATTCCGTGATAATAGTATGATATAATCTAATACGAACGACGGTGTATATCGTGTGCACGAGTGAGCTTGTTCAACACGTACTAGTATTCCATACTCTATGTACTGTATACGCAGAGAGGACTATTCTATTAATTGTCTGTACTCCAGCGGACAATTAAATATGTACATGTGTGTTGCGTGCATGACGACGTCGACGTGCCGAATCTCCTCTCCGCGCATCGACCTTTACTCGGTTCTCTCCCTCTCTCGTGCATCGATATTAATTATAATTTAAAGGCAAACTTTCTAATTGTTGACTAGGATGTATTGTGCATATATATACGCGCGCATGGGTGTATATAATCCCAGTCAGCGTGCAGAGCTCCGAAGACTCTTACGCAACTGCCGTCGCTTCGTATAGTCGTGCAGGGGTGCATACGCTGCTGCACACGCTAGAAGGAAATTACCGAATTGTGTATGTGTGCGCCCGTGTGATATGTTCAACGACCTGAATTGTGTGCGAGCTTCTACGTGCTGATATGTGCACTTCCAACTAATTTTGCTCTCTCTCTCTCTCTCTCTCTCTCGCTTGCTCGCTGGAGCGCACCCTCGATGCGAGTGCAGAGCTAAAGTATTATTGCAATTATTTATTAAAATTTTTGGCGCGCAAGAGGACGAGAAAGAATTTTTAATCTCTGGGCTTTTTAGAATTATACGCCAAAAACATCGTTGCGAATGTATTCTCGCGAGAATCGGTATATATGAAATCTCTGCGCGCGTATAATTTCGTCGTAAAAATATCTACTTGTATAAGAAATTAGATTTTCCTAATATTGCCTACGTTTGTGCACTCGCGGTGATATCTGCGTTAATTAACCGCATTCGCACGTGCGTTTAATGTACTTGAAATGTTTATGTACAAGCAATAATCTACCTAAGCATTATTCATGCCTGGCACAATGGTCCATGGTTGTATATCTATATGTGTGTAGGTGTGTGGTATAAGGAATGCGAGTTCCTATCTCTCTCTCGAGTACTCACCTCCGTGTTATGACTCCAGGTCATCTTCGGCGGAGGCTCCGGGGCAAATTTTACGAGGCAGGTGAGATTTATGGTGCTCCCCTTATTGACGAAGAGATCCGGCGAGCCGACGATGATGGTTTCCGGCTCTGCAGCAAATTCGTTGTATATATATTATGCATTATTTATTATACACATCGGAGAGTTTATACAGAAAAGATATGAATAATTGCACGGACTTGAAAATTAGAGGGGTAAAGCCCGCATATGCACACACACCCCGGCTAGATTCGATCGATCAACTTTTTACTATATACGACGTCGCTTGGCGTAATACCCTCTGATTGAGTTACGCGGCTGAGGATTATGACATAAAATATTCTTATTTATACATTATGTATCGCGTTGTGCGAATTGCGCTAAAGTCGGGACGTGCTTTGCATCGAACCCTATGTCGAGAGTTTCGATGCGAATGCACAGCATTTAAAATTAAATATAGACGTTTTGACGTTTTCGCGCGAGACCCGAATTTCACACGTATAAAAATCGGGAAAAGTTGGCATTAATTATTTAAGAGTCGTGGCAGATCTGTCACACAGCATAAATTAATACCATTTGATTTTCGCTTGTCGTTCTCGTCGAAAAAAGAGTCAAAAGATTAACAGTTTATATAAAAAAGTTTGAAAGAGTCACCGAGTCCGAGGAGGTCACGAAAAATCAGTTGCCCGAAAGATATACTTATATGATCCCTTCGTTAGCCTGAGTAAGCAAGATGCGATGTTAGCAGTTATAGTTATAGTCTAAAATCGCGATTAAAATATTTGCCACTTGACGCGTGTACCGGACATTAGAAAATTTTTCGGGGAGTCTTAGAAACGTGGTAAAACGAAGGAACAATTGACTCAACATTTGCTGATGATTTGTAGAATTACTCATAAATATACACGAATTAAAGCATAAAACTAGCATCTCTTGAAGTATTTTTCGCAACCAGATTGTAATACACACACAGGACAAGGTGACACATAAAACGTATGCACAATATTAACTGCGTATGAACGTATTGGACGGTAGAGGGAGAAGCGAACGATAGCGAGGTCACCTCGGTAATATGTGCGATCAGATCAGTGTGTTCAGTCGCTAAGCGAAGAGCTAAGAAGATTGTTTACGAATTGGTGAGATCGAGGCGTTTAACCTCAAATATTTTCTTAGTGTAATTTCTTGGTGTATATCGGGGCAATTTACACTGAATATACATGATAAAGCGAGCGATGGAAAGCAGCGACATAGTCAGGTATAATATTTTGTGTGATATATTGCGCCATGATCATTTTTGGAGCAATTATTTATCGAATTTGTTGCTCTTTAGGATAAAGGAAGAGCCGAACGATAGTTGGCTAGATGCAGGTGACGATAATGTTTCTGGTTCAGCGGACTTTCACGAAGCCAAAAACGTTTCAACGCTCCCGTTTTATAAAGCATCAGTGAGTTGAATTTTTTGAATTATGTTACAATACTCCCCAATACAAAACTATTATACAATTTTTCGATTTAGGCAGAACCCGCAAATGAGGCTGTGACGCTGCAGGAGAGGTTAGATGAAAAAATATTTATAGATGTTGAGTGCAAAAATGTTAAACCTGAACTCAAGTCTCTACCGATGACCGTCTGCAAATTCGAGTATCAAAATTGTTTACCTATTGTGAAAAAAGAAAATGAAAATTCAAGCAATAACATGAATGATAAGGGCCTTATAATTTTGATAAAAAAGGGATTCGATTATTACAATAATTGTCAATGGAATGAGAACTTCCGATTAAAACTTGCCAATAATGAGAAATTACAAAATTGTGGGAGAATTGTTGAAAAAAAACCATCGTATTTGTCAAAAATGTGTCAAGAAACTAATACAGCAAAGGTATGTTTGAAAAATCGTGCGAACACGATACTTGAAAGAAATAGAACGAACGAATGTCATATTTGTCAAAAAATATTTGTAGACAAAAGTCACCTCACAACTCACATAAATACAGAACATAATCATTGCAAACCATTCGAGTGCAAGATTTGTTACAAATCATTTGGATACAAATTTCATCTTAGTAGGCACATAAATTCAGTACACTATCAGAGCAAACCCTTCGAGTGTGATATTTGTCACAAATCATTTTCAAACAAGGCTAACCTCAAAATTCACGTGAGTTCAGTACACGATCATAAGAAACCCTTTGAATGTAACATTTGCCATAAATCATTTGGACAAAAAAGCAACCTCAATAGTCACGCAATAATACACGATGATAGGAAACTCTTTGAATGTTACACTTGTCACAAATCATTTGGAGAAAAAAGTAAACTCAAAAATCACAGAAACATAGTGCATGATCGGAAAAAACCCTTTGAATGTGACATTTGTCATAAACCATTTGGATATAAGAACGACGTCAAGATACATATAAATTCAGTACATAATCATATTAAATCGTTTGAATGTGAAATTTGTCATAAATTATTTGGACAGAAAGGCCATCTCAATGTTCACATAAACGCAGTACATAGTCGGAGCAAATCCATCGAATGTAAGATTTGTCACAAATCATTTGCACACAAAGGTAACTTCAAAAATCATATAAATGTAGTACATAATTGTATCAAACCCTTTGAATGCGAGATATGCCACAAATCATTCGGAGTAAAAAGAACTCTCAAATGTCACATCAATGTAGCACATAATCGTATAAATTCCTTTCAATGTGAAATTTGTCATAAATCATTTGGACGAAAAGATTATCTCAAAACTCATGTGAATTCACAACATGATCGTATTAAATCTTTTGAATGTGAGATTTGTCACAAATCATTTGGGCAAATGAGTGCCCTTAAGAAACATATAAATAGGGTACATGATCGGAGCAATACCTTCGAATGTGAAATTTGTCACAAATTGTACGGACATAAAAATTACCTCAAAGTTCATATAGATACAGTACACGATCATAAAAAATCCTTCGAGTGTGACATTTGTCATAAATCATTTGGACGAAAAGCTGCCCTAAAAACTCACATAATTGCTGTACATGATCGATGCAAGCCCTTTGAATGTAATAATTGCCACAAATCATTTGGATACCGGCATCATCTCAAAAGACACTTGAATAAATGCAGTACTTAATAGGAAACAGCCCTTTTGAATGTAAAGTTTTTCCACAAGTCGTATAGGCGAAAGGCTTAAATAAATACTTTTCGCAATTGCATTTTGTTAACTATGAAATGTTTCAAGACCGTGGGACAAAATAAGTTTGCATGAATATGACCAACGTATTCCATAAAAATTGATATAAATAATCGTCAATCTCGTAAAAAGGACTTTATGATATTTTATGCTATGTTATCTATTTTGTACTAATAAACTAATAAATTAAATAATACGCCTTGGACTAATTTTTTTAAACATTTTCAATTCTGGTAAAAATCTTTAATTAAGTTCGTAAAAAAATTTCAAACTTATTATTTACACGATTTTACACCATTTTAAATCCCTAGAAATTTTTACGTCAAAATGATTCAAGCTTCAGGAGTATACCAAAATTCAATACAGAATGACCCGTGATATTTACGGAAAAATGTGATTAATAATCTTAGGAACAAATAATACCTATCAAAATTTTCATCGTTCACAAATTTCCATCACGCGCGTCAAGTGAAAATAATATCAATCCCAATTGCAGCCTCTAATTTTCAACATTTTTCATAGAATTGCTCACGTATATAACGCAATCGCGAGCCGAGCGAGAGAAAGCTCGGTGCAAACTACTCGACTTTGCTATATATACTCCAAGCTCGAACGCCACTACATAGCTTCAAGCCTCCTCTGACCGATTCCGTGTGTATTATAGGGGTTGGCGCTGGGCCGCTCGACGTCGAGCAAGCTATATGTACAGGCGACGGCCGCAGAGCTTCGTTCATTCTCGCACACACACACACACATATAACTACTACGTACTACTTGGCAAAGTATATAATCGGCTTGAGGCTAAAGCTGTAAATTACCGAAAGTGCGTGATCGCTTGGAAAGCCGGTGTCGGTAACATCCGGGGGATAGCTCGGCGTATGCAGCCTCAGCCCGAATGCCACCACCACCACCAAGAACCGAACTATATATTCGTTTCTTCGGCAGCGAGTCGTCATAATGGAGAAACCCACGTAATTCACGAGTATAATATAACTTTCGCATGATATAGTAAAAGAAAACGTCGAGGCTAATTGTGCCTTCGTTTCCAATCGTACTTTATAACACGTCATTTCGCTTTTTTTCTCTCTATATAAACTCTCGATAATTCATACCCCTCACCCACGTTTTTTTTACCTTATACGACGTTACAATTTTCCAAGTTTCTGGGGCATACCAGCGCGCAAAAGTCTATAAAAACTCGTCTGATTCACGTATATATAACGTATATGTACATATAGAGCTGCGCAGAGCTGAGAAAAGTTATCTTATCTTATACGCGCGCGGCGAGGTATATAAGGCCTCCTCCTTCTTCTTGCATTTGTCCGTCGCGCCGCGCCCTCGCGTCTATTTTATTTCTGTGCACGCGCGCAACGGCGCCGGGAGAAAAAAAACTCTAGTTTGTCTATTACTTTATTTTTTTTCTGCCACGCACGTCTCGCGCTTCACGCGCGAAATGATTGGATTTTAAAAGCCATTCGGAATATCAATTTTATACACACACCACACCCGCGTACCCGAGGAAATAAGCATTTTCGTTTTATTACGCGAGCAGGGCTCGATCTAATATTATACGTCATATTCTCGAAGTTTTTTTATCGTTACTATCCGCCCGTAATAATACTCACCGACGATGGTCAGGTAGACCGGATGGCCGATGGGCGGCGTCGTGGATATCTGGCACTCGTAGATGCCCGAGTCCTTGCGCTGGGGATAGCGTATCTTGAGGGTCCACTCTTCCGTGTGGGGCGAGTGCAGCGCCTCGAAGCGCTGGTCGCTCGTGTACGTGTAGCGGCCCACCGTCAACAGGTGTATGTCCCGGTGCCTGACCCAAGACACCTGTAAAGCATATAATAGGTTTCGCCATATATGATTAATCCATTCGTCGCATCGATCGTCGCGAGCTCGCGGTTTTTCACGATCGTTCGGCAAAATTGTCGTACGAGCGAAGAAGATTTATGACGGAAAGTTGTGTGGTTTCGATCAATTTGGAGGGAGGACTGAAAATAAAATTAAAGGGAATGTTACCCTGATAGAAATGCTCGATATTTATGACTAGTTAAACAAGTTTCACGAGACAATTAAATTAAATTTATTCAAAACTATGCTTTGACTTATACAAGTATCTTTACTTCGTCACTCACAGATTTATAGATTTATAGATCCTCGACATCTAGCGGCGAAGACTAAAAGTAGCATTATATCATAATTGAAAATGTGTCTAATTTTTTTGAGCCGATTGAGTTATCATTTTCATGTCTTTTAAAATGCGTCTATAAATTTAATATAATTTTTTAGAAAAATCGCTACAAACAAATGGTGATGGATTTTAAAACATTTTAAAACTGTAATTTTCTAGTCACTATATCATTAAATGTTTATTATTTTTACCAGGGTATACGCTGTTACGAATTATTCGACTCGACGCGATTAAAAATATTTGTAAATGAGTTTTATGCCATACCGTTCCTAAAACAAATGGGTAATCAAGCGACCGAAGCGTTAAAGCATCGCTCATAATCGCGCGAAATTTTCGCGGTATACACACAATAAAAACTCCAAAGCTCGTTAGAACACCCAGAATCCTTTATTATTATTTTTTACGAGGATTCCGTATGCTCGGTCGACAGAGAAAACTTATATGCACGCGTGTTATATCGTGCATTTAGCAGTTTGAAACTGCTTAATACTTCATGAAATGCCTGCGCGAACACTTTCGTGACCTTTTTTCACTCTCCCTCTGTCTCTCTGTCTCTCTTTCTCTCTCGACTAGACAGGGTTCAATATTTTGAATTGGCTGATTCAACATGAAAAGCTCCTATTCAGTAAGGCACATAAAAGAGACAAATGTAGGTCGACAATACACTCGTCGGTTTCGTCACTCACGTCTGAACTACAACTGGCTTCTAGCTCGTGCTGCTACTGCAGCTCGGCACAGTCAAGCCATACATACACACACCCACCCACACGAACTCGCCAGAACTACTATAACGTGTATATGGAGTACTCCGATCTATATATCCGAATGATCGTCGTATACGTATGGAGTTGGGTGGTTTAAAATCCTTCGCCAGAAAAGCAGCTGCAGCCTTTTTGACAATCCGAGCGAAAGGTTTTCTATGTATTTTTTTGACAATCATCTCTCCGCACAGCTGCTTTCATTTAGCAAAAACAAAACCACTCTCCGTGTTACATCGTACGTAAAAATTACACGAATAAACACGTGCGTATTCTTGCAAAAATATTAATACGAGCTTATGCGCTACCCTATACAAGCTATTGTATGCACAGGCGCCTGGGCATCATAAAGTGAATGTTTGAAAATTTCATAGGCAGTTAGTACACCACACACACACACTATGTAACTATTACATGATAAACAGCAGGCCTGGAAATTTCATAATTGCATTAACCAAGTTTGTTGGCCCTACGCGAATAAACCTAGTTTGTCGAATGTAGACTAACTTCCTCCCCTGGACTAACTAAATATGGGTGTAGGGTAATTTTGGCTCAAGAAATTTCTGCAAAACTTTTATTTCGCTAAATTAGGAATGTTGCGCCGGGGTCAGCGACGCGCGCTCACTTGTGTAGCAGTACTTGAACTATTTCATACATGTCATTTCGGAGGGCAAACTCCGTCGGCGGCGCGGGGACTATTGCTACTCGTCTCTCGAAAATGACACACGCGAAAAATTCGCATTTATAATATTTTGCAACATGAGCTTGCGTTATTAATCAGAAAAACTTTTTTTGATAAAAAATTTGATATATATCGCGACGATGACTCTTGACTTCCCGGTTAATGCTTTAAGTCTCGGTGAAATATTTGTCTTTCCAAGATGAGTTCGACACATCGCTCGTTCGAAATGTATTATTATTTCAGAGCAGTGGGATCTATTTACTTATAAAACAGACTTACTCTAAAATGGACGCTCCGGCTTGAGAGCAAAATATTTCAATTTAAAGTATAATTTTCTCCCCGAGGTTTGTTATTTGAACTTTTTGTCGTTGTGCAGCTAATCATCGGATGTAAGAAAGGAGAGTGAGAGAGAGAGAAAGAGAGACTTTTGAATCGCAGTTAGTTTTGCACGAGTTTTAACTCTCTCAGCGCGCGAGAAGTTTTGATGAAAGGCCAAGCGAGCGAGCGCAAAGTTATTCATAGGATACTTACTGTTCGATTGCCCAAGTTTTTTACTTTGCATACCAGATGCACGGTCTTGCCGACAAGACCTGTGAAGTTCGAGCTCATTGTAGTATCGAAATGCGGTCCCGTGCCCGGCGTCGGCCATTCCTCCAAAAAATCCGTTCGGAAGTTCCTCAGTCCGCTTGCGCAAGATCCTGAAATTACACAAGAAAATGAAGGGTCATTGTCGAGCGAGAGGGCAGCGAAGAAATAACGAAGAGACTGAGAAATTTCGAAGGAAGAATCATTTAAAATTTTTTATTTACATGCCGATGGGTATTTTCATTTCTGATTTAATTATCGTGGACGTGACTGAACCATTCGTTATGCGATCATTATTATACTATTGATATGTATAAAGGATTTTTACTGATTAGAATTTTTTCCATTGATACTGGTTCAAACTACTGGACATAAACTAACCTAATGTGTAACGTTTTCCCAATATTTTATGGCTATAAAATATTCCACGTTTTCGTTATGGGGTTTTTTTGACTATGTAAAATTATTACAAATTACCACTTCAACACTTCTTCACTTGTTATTTCTGATTATCTTCATAACCAAAACCAAATATACGAATGATGTGTAAGTGTAAGTAGTCTTATGTAGTTATTTTCACTTTTCCATTTGCAGATTTATTGATTAAGTTGTCCGGCATCTAGTGGCGGAGGCTGGCTTTACTTATAAGCTACTGAACGCGTAGAATACACGTTACTGCAGGGGAAAATCTCATAACATTATCTTAAAATTATTTTTGCACTTATAGAATTATTTTCATTTCCCCACTAGTTACCAAGTTATACGACACCAAGTGATCTGGACATTTTTACATTTTTACATTCACTTTACCACTTGCAGATTTACACGTCAAGATATTTGCCATCTATTAATGGTATCTCAAACTATCATTTTCCTGTATTAAGCGGTTGGAAATTGATTTAAGTTTATTGAACGAAAATTCGCTCAATATTTGTAACATAATTGTATCAGAAAAATCGCCAAAAACAAGCAAAAAAATGTTAATGCACCTTAAAACGCTGTAAATGTCCGTTTTGGGCATTAAATGTTGAGAATTCCTACCAGATGTGTAAATTATGTTAAATTTAAATTTTATTATTATTTCAGACGATACAAAATCACACTAATGGCTGTCTTATCGGGTTTTAATATCAAAAACGAATTTTACTTAATGCATTTCTTTCTTTACCATTTCAATGGTAAAATTTATTCAAATACCCGAAACATCGATTTATTAATTTCCATCTGAATTTTGTGCACTCAGCATTACTTTTCAAGATGTAAATTTACGATGACCCAAGTAAATGATACTTTTTAAATCATCATTTTTTCATAGACGAGGTGATAAATTATTGGATCATAAATAACTACTCCGAACTCAGCTCAGAAAAGAAAATCATTTACATAATATCAATAAAAAAAAAGTGATCAATGATGAAAAAAAAATATCTGATCAATCACTGTCCGCTAAGTACCATTGAATACTTCATCGGCTTTATCTCATCGGTCTTTCTCATCTTGTCACGCTGCGCTGCTCTAGGCTTTATCCCGTTTTCGTAAACTACGTACTTTCTTTCAACGCCGCGGCAGAGATACTTTGCACGCCGTGCTGCAGCTTTAAGTCCTGCTGCCGCTTCACGTTCTATACGGCGTATATACGTCGAGTTTGCAGTGTGACCGCAGCAGCAGCAGTGCAGAAAGAGGAGGAGGGGAGAAAGGAGGGCGAACTCGAGGGGGATGGCCGCGAAAAAGAGAAGAGAACAAAGCAAAGAGATAAAGTTAAAACAAAGTTAACTTTTAGACTTTTAGTGAGAGAGAGAGAGAGCTAGGAGGAGAGTGGGTGAGAGAGAGAGAGAGAGAGAGAGAGAGAGAGAGAGAGAGAGAGCTGAGTCAGCATAGTACTAGGGCGACTAGCTAGAAAATCCTGCGGCGAGGCTTCAGAAAAAAAACCATCCCCCCGATGCATGTTTAAACTTTGTATACTTTGTGCCAGAGGTGCGTATGTCAGCATCCTTGAGCAGGACACCGGGCTGAAATTTATTCATAGTTTATGATCTCGAATTAATGTTGATAAAGACTCTTGAAAAAAGAAATAAAGAGAAATAGTAAGTAGTTGAAGTAATCAAGCTACTTTTCGCGCCGTATTTAAAAAAAAATGAAAAATGAGAACTCGTTTTTTATATTATCACGACGAAAGGATAAAAAGGTGCTAACGTTCACATATATGCATTTATAAACCCGAAGAAGTCGATATTATATAGAGAGACTAGCTATACGGGAAATTCCGGCGCGCGGTCTGCGCAGTTGGAGAGAATCGTTCGACGACATTCACGGAATTTGGTGCCAATTTTTATTTTCTCTCTCTCTCTCTCTCTCTCTCTCTATGCTCAAAGCGGCGGCGGTGTGTGCTTGCTCGGTGTTCGGTGTTCGGGAGCTTCGATTCGACGCTGCTGCTGCTGCTGGTAGCGGTGATTTATCACCGCCTCGAACTCGGCCGTTTAGGTCTCGCGTTACTACTGCAGCAAAGGAGAATCGATGCACGAGAGCGACTACTACTACCACTACTATTCGTGTCCCAATATTTTTCTTATGTTTCAACGATATCGCTGTACTCTGCGCTGCGCTGCGTTGCGGTGAACTGACCAGATCGAGATTTTAATTGAATTTCTTACGGAGGAAAGAATCGTATTTTATTACCTTTCGAATTTTGATATCGTTGCATTTACAATATTATTTTGTGCTTTATAACGGGTTTGGGAGTATAAAGGACTTATATTACCTATCAGTTGATTGACAATATAAAGTAACGCCAGGCACTTCACTACATACACTCTACAAGACTACACAACTACAAAAAAAAATACAGCTTCTCGAACATAATTTTCAAGAATAAAGCACGTCCGGGGCAGGGGTAGGGAATATTTGCTATGGCTAATAAATTTTACTCGCGTTTTTTTTGCGCGCGTGGATCTCCGAGGTCCGAGAGTAATTGCCTATTTCGCCGAGGTCCGACGATCAAAAGCTCGACATACGAGCCCCCCTCCGTATATATATAGCAGTATATGTACGCAGAGAGAGCTTAAAGTTTCATTGTTCGAATTGCACGCCTCGCTCGCTTCATATCGAAGGCTACTACTATGCTTTCGATGCAAAAATCCGATGTTTTTTCAGATGTATGTATGTATGATTCATCTCATAAAACGCCATCCACACGTGTAATATATGCGCGCATGCGAGAGCTTCCATATAAAAGCTCCGCGCGTCAGCGGCGAAAGGGATATAGCGGAGGAAGGCGGCAATAAGGGAAATAACTAGAAAACGAGCAGGAAGGCGCGCACACACATACACATACATGGCCAGTTCAGCAGCAGCAGTAACAGCAGCAGAGAATCTGGATTAGGCATTCTGGCAGGCTACTGCCATTAGGGAGATTCATATTTATGATATATATTCGGCGGCGAACGAACCAACTCGCGTATACTGGCGTGTGTGCGTGTTATAAAATCACAAGAGTCTTTTCGTGTCGGCGCGCAAGCGTAACGGAGTATATATATACGGTATCATCGTGTGCATAGGAGAGCTACGGCTGGCGGAGTTGCATCGGGAGGGAAGGGTCGAAGCTCCGAGAGTCGTAAATGCTGAAATTGGCTGGTTCAACGGTGATGCATGCCACGCTAGATATGCTATATGCTAGGCTCTAGCTTGCTGGCACATGCAAGTGCAGCTTATTTTACGCCCCTTTCCAGAAAGTTATTTTGTGTGCCCATTGCGCCTCAGTCACATGCGCGCGCGAAAGCCCATGATCGCTTCGAGAGGCTTACTACATATATACCATTCGAGGCATTATTACATTTTACGCTCTGACTAATGCCTAGGTGCTGGTGCTGGTCATACACGGAGAGAGCGACGACGACGAGGAGGAGTATATAAGCTTTCATCCTGCTATTATATTATTATATCGGTAGAGGGTTGTAAAAAGTAAACAATTACTACAACGAGCGGATATAGTACCGTGAGTGCGAGAGCCGAATATAAGCGAATAACAATTGCCTCGAGCTTCTACTCCTCCTCTCCGTGTTCGCGCAGGAAAAGCGAGAGACGCTTTTGAGCCCCCCCAGCTCGTGTGCTTATATATACGTATATGAGCTATATATGTAGCCTTTCGTGACTGCGTAGATGTGCTACTGGTGCTGGTGCTCGTTATCAGGAAAGGGTAACTGACAGTATATTATAAATGGGAGAGCAGGGAATGCACCTCGTGTGTGTGTGTGTGTGCGAGAACGCCTCGAGCTGCAGAATTTGCAGCAGGGGCTGCTATATATAGTAACCACTTCTCTCTTCGGTGCTATAAGCCCTCCCCATCAAGCTCGACACTGACTGGATCTCTTTTTATTTTAATAATTATTTTTGCATCGCTGCCCATGCAGCAGCAGCAGCAGCAGCGGTAGGATCGACTTTTTGACGCGCTGCTGGCGAGAGCTGCTGCTAACCGCGTTATAGAGAGCTGCGAAAGCTTCGATATCGTAAATTTTGAATCTAATAATCCGTGCGAGAGGATCTGATCCGGATCGCAAATCTGCTTGAGAAAATTTAGTTTCAGAGAGCCCTTCGTTTTTTAACCAGTTGGGCTTTAGAAACTGCGCGCGGTATATAGAAATTAGATAAAAGCATATTTCAATGCGTTCGTAACACGCGGAAATCAATGATTAAGTTCACTCCTTTTGCTTTATTAAGTATATATGTGTTTTGTACCGGGTGGTTTCTCTCTCATCATCACCAGCGCCACTACCACCACCTTCGTGCGCATTAAATATGTATAACAAAAGACAACATCCGCCGGGCGAAATCCGGTTAAAACCCACCTCATTACCGTGATTCAACTCTGATATTACGCTCGTTTTGATGCTGCTATACGGATGAATTTCCAAATGTTTGTAAAAATAACGGGATAAAGTCGACGAGAATGAGTTATATACTACAAATAATATTGTACACACACATCAAATAAACTAATGGATGGCAGAGAGAGGTAGTGACGTGACGAGAACAGTCGAATTATAAATGGATTTAATTTCAGGAGTGGATTTGAGAGAGAGAATTCGATATAATTATTTAATTCAAAATCAAACGAGCT